ATTTATAAGAGTCAATTAAATTAAAAAAAAATAATTGAATAATAATAGATAAATGATATAAGAGTTATCCTAAGGGCGTAAATATCCATATAATAATGAATAAAAGATATAATTAATTAATAAAGATATGGTTAATAAATAAAAATAAGTAAAATAAGGATATGATTAATAAATAAGAATAGGATATAAATAAGGATATGGTTAATAAATAAGGATGGGTAAATAAGGATATAGTTAATAAATAAGGATAAGATTTATAATTAATTAATAAATAAGGATAAGGTCCATGGTTAAGTAATTAATAACGATATAAGTAATGAATAAAAATAAGATTATTAATTAACCCTTTAATAATTAAAAGGTTTAAGGATTTTCTAAGTGAACATATTACTTACCCTTTAAATAAACCGAGATAATATAAGGGTTAAAGGTTTTTTAATTATAGTAAAAAATGTTATTAAATAATGAGATTTAAAAGGTTAATTAATTAATAGAGAATTTAGAAAAAAAGAAAAAAGCTGAGCTCTTAACGTTTTAAATTAATTATATATATATAGATAAGGTTTAATTAACTGTGCTAGTAGTAACCATAGGGATGCTTATATAATAATAGCCATGAATAGCCACGGGAGTGGTTATCCACGTTTATGGCTATATCCACGTTTATGTTTTAACACTTAAAAAGTGGTTAAAAAAAGGAAAAAAAGAATTATAATAACTTAAAAGTTAAAAGTTTTTATATTTTTTTAAACGTTATAAAGTAATATAAGTAATAAAATTATTAAAAATAAATAAAAATATAATTAAGTTAAATTACCCACCGTTTTATAAATTTAATATTTAATAAAATTTAATTATTTTATAAGTATATAATTTACCACTTAATTTTACGTACGCCACTTATATCGATAATATTTAAAATTATATATAATTATATTATAAATATTACATTAAAATTATAACTTAATATTTATTATACTTTTTAATATTAACACGCTTTATAAGTTTAATAAAAAAATGAATTTTTATTTAAAAATTATAATTAAATAATTAATAAGTTTATTATATAAAAAAAATAAAAAATTATATACCTTAAAGTTTATTTTAATAAATTTAAATCATAAGTTTGTGCTTATATACCTTTTTAACCATATTAACTTTTAACTAATTATAACAATTAAGTAAGTTAAAAAAATGAATATAAATTTATAATTTAAGCTTATAATATCAAATTTTCGTTAAAATATAACCAATTTAATTAATTAATTAATCAATTAATTAAATAAAAATATTTAATCACGTTTATTTTATTTATTAATTATTAAACTTTTAATTAACTTAAATATAAGATTTAAAAACATTTATAAGACAAGTTATAAGCTATTTTATAGCTAAGTTAAATCGGATTATTATTAACGCGGCGTTAATGTAATCACGTCTTACCCCACTATAATAATCTTAAAATAAGGGTAATTAAAGCGTTTTTTAAATGCTTTTTAAACGTTGTAATTAAATGAAAAAGGTTTTTAAGGTTAAATATTATAATTAACTTTATTAATAACTTAATTTAAAACGATTTAATCCGGTTATTATAGTGTGATTACTAATAAACATAATAATATTTTAATATATTTTATATAATTTTAATTAGAATAAGTTATGAAACGTTACGTTTTTAAAAGCCTTTTAAACGTCGCGACCAGATATAAAAAATCTCTAAAGCTAAATATTATAATAAAATAATTACCAACTTAATTTAAAATTATTTAATTAAGTTGTTATAACATAATTATTAAAAAACACGATAATATTTTAATAATTTTAATTGAAATAATTTAAAATGCCATTTTAATTAACATTTTACAATTTATACTTAAATTAAAAATTAAAAAATATTATTTTTTTAGCCTTATATATATATAAATATAGGCTAAAAAATAATGTGCTTGTGGCATAAACGGGCACAGCCTAATTATTTTTTAATTTCTAATCTAAGCTTATTAAAATAACTTAAAATTTCATATACCTTAAAATCTTATAATGAGATTTTTATTAAATTAAAACGCGTATTAATTTTAAAATTAAAAAAAGTTTTTAAACGACGCGTAATTAAATTAATATCGTTAACTTAAATAATAATTAAGCATAATTATATTAACGTATTAAATATATTAAATATTAAATTAATATATTTACCGGTTAATTTTATATCACGTTATATTTAAAATAAAATAAAATTAATATATAAAATTATCCATCCGGAGGATATTTTTATGCTAAAACTTTTTCAGAAAATTACTATGGGAAATTACTATGGGAAATTACTATGGGAAATTATTGAATTAATTACGTCATCAAATACCCCTGTAATTCCTAAAAACCCGTGCAGGAAAATCAGGATTGGTCAGATCGTTTTTAGCGCCAACTGCCCGACAGCCGTGCGTTCTTTTTAAAAGCTTTTTATTGGTTGCATTCCTTTAAAGCAAACGCTTTTTATTGGCTGCATCCCTTTATGCCAGCTGTCCCAAACTTTGTCAACCATAGCTGCGTTTCTTTCAACGCTTTTTGTTAGGACATGGCCATGGACGTGGATAGGTGGATAGCCACTCCCATGGCTATCCATTGCTGCCGCCGTATGGGCACATCTCCATTGCTGCTGCCGTATGGGCACATCTCCATTGCTGCTGCCGTATGGGCATATCTCCATTGCTGCTGCCACAGCTTGCTGAACCTTATCGGTGTATATATAGCTAGCCTGAGACGCTGGGAGCTCAGCTCTCTTCTTCTCTTCTATATATTGATTGACTGATTGACCTTTTGAGTCCCATCTCTTGCTACGGTTGGAAGACCTCCAACCCCCATACCATCCCGGTTCATCCGAAAGGTGAGCAATATGCTCACCCAGAAAATCCTCAGACCTTTTGGTTGTTGAAGGGTTAATCAACAACCGTCCCATCCTTATCCATTGCCCATATCGTTATTCATCCATGGACCCCATCCTTATTCATTGATCAACCATGGACCCCATCCTTATCCATTGACCATATCCCTATATATCAGCAGAGCCGCAAGAGCCTCAACGCACAGGCCATCGGCAGAGCCTCAGGCAACCCGACACCACCCCGACCACTAACACCACATGTATCCCGTTAGGAGGACTGTCTGGAGTTACTTCAATTATTGAAGCAGCACGGGTCAGCTTAGAGATTCGTATCAGGGATCAACACACATGTGTGTATATAGGTTATTGGACTTGGATGTGGGCATCTCCATGGCTGCTGCTGCCACAGCTTGCTAAACCTTATCCTCCGGATGGTCACGCCTTCCTTCCGTCACCCATTCCCGACTTTTAACCCCTTTTTGACTTTCTAAGATAGTCTTTTAATTGGACGAGCAAAATTTCTTCGGCCAGCGCAGCGGTTCCTGAAAAAAAAAATATCTAAAAGTGATTCGAAGGCCCGTCCCGGAGCTTGCGGAGGGCCACGGGCCGATGAATCACTTTTAGATATTTTTTTTTGAAGGAAGGCCGGAGAAATTTTAAGTAAATATAAATATAATAAATTAAAAAAAATATATTAAGGTTTATTTTTAATAATTTTATTATTTATATTACCTTATAATGTTTAAAAAAATAAACCGGTTTAAAACACGTTTTATTAATATATATTTTAACCATTTAAAATAAATAATTAAATAAATTAAACGTTAATAAATTTATTAAAATTAAAACTATTTTATTAACTTAAATTTAAATTTATTAAACCGTTAATAAAAAATAAAACGTTTAAAGTTAACTTTTTAAATTATTAATTAATTAATTAAATATATTATTTTTTAACTTTTAAATTTAATAAACCACTTTTTACACCACTTTTAATATTATTATATAAATTAATTATTTTAAATATTTCTTAAAATATTTAATTTAAGTGATAATATTAAAAATAATTAATAAAATAAATAAAATAAATTAAATAAATTAAATAAATTAAATAAATTAAATAAATTAAATAAATTAAATAAATTAAATAAATTAAATAAATTAAATAAATTAAATAAATTAAATAAATTAAATAAATTAAAAAAAAAAAATTAAAAAAAAAAATTAAAATAAAAAAATTAGAAAAAATAAATTAAATTAATTAATTTTAATTATTAAAAATAGAATTAAATAAATAAAATTAAATAAAAAGTGGTTAAATTAAAACTATAAAAGTTTAACTTTTTATTTTATTAATTATTATAAGAAATAAGCTTAAACTTAAAATTTTCACTTATAAATTTATTTTATTAATTATTATAAAAAATAAGTTTAAGCTTAAAATTTTTACTTATAAGCTTATTTTATTAATTATTATAAAAAATAAGCTTAAGCTTAAAATTTTTACTTATAAACACGGCTCCATAAAACATAATTTTATTAAGTAAAACTTTACATTTAACTCGTCCCTCCTTAGTAAAGTTTTACTAATAATGTTAAATAATAGTTAGCGCAACCCCGCAGCCCCGCAGCCCTGCTATCCTAGATCGGTTATCGGGCATTTGTTGGACCGCGGGGTCCCAAGTTCAGATCGGATGTCATCGGCGCAAGCCAGGGACCTGTCAATTCTTGAAGTCTTCAACATTTAATATTGTTGCTGACATACCTACATGTAGCTCGTGATAGTGGCAAGGAGTATACGTGCATGTTTTTAATACTCAGTAGTTATTCATTGACTAAGATGGACGATTAAATATTAACTGCTAAATTCAAGTTACACTCTTTTCTTTCTACAATTACTAAGTACCGAATTTGTGTTTATTCGCGTTCGCGTCCACTGATAGAGAGTCGTAGTTCCATCCTCATCTTCTGTACTCGGAACTGTTCAAGATCCAGGGGTATTTTTTACTTGAAAATGCTTCGTCGAATAGCAACCCGGGCTCCTCGAAGGACAGCACCTCGTCACCTTCCATCATCCTACATAACTCCCGTGAGATATCTCTCTTTCACATCGACCAGGATGGCATTGCCCTCCGTTCAACCACCCGTGTCAACAACCCTCCCCACCGACTCGTTCCAACTTCTACCCGAAGCCGAGAAGGCTGGAGCAGCCGAAGATGCGCTGTATAAGCAACAGATAAAGGATGTTGAGTCGTGGTGGGCATCCCCTAGATTTGAAGGGATCAAGAGACCCTACACTGCTGCCGATGTCGTATCGAAGCGAGGATCGCAGATGCAGAGCTATCCAAGCTCCCTAATGGCGCGGAAGCTCTTCAATCTGATTAAGGAAAGGGAAGCCAAAGGAGAACCCATCCATACTAGTATGTTCTGTCGTTTATATTACAAGGTTATATGTTAGACGGCGTACGTTAACCATCTTCGCTTTGTATATAGTGGGAGCCATTGATCCTGTACAAATGACACAGCAAGCACCCCACCAAGAAGTTCTATACATCTCTGGATGGGCTTGCTCCGCCGTCTTGACTTCGACCAACGAGGTGTCCCCCGACTTTGGCGATTACCCCTATAACACCGTGCCGAACCAGGTCCAACGCCTCGCAAAAGCACAGTCGATGCACGACCGAAAACAATGGGACCTGCGCCGCAAGCTGACCACAAGAGAGCGCAAGAAGACACCATACGTCGACTACTTCCGCCCCATCGTTGCGGACGGTGATACTGGACATGGTGGTCTGACTGCCGTGCTCAAGCTCGCGAAGCTGTTCGCCGAAAATGGTGCTGCCGCTGTTCACTTCGAGGATCAGCTGCACGGCGGCAAGAAGTGCGGCCATCTAGCCGGCAAAGTTCTCGTTCCTATAGGCGAGCACATCAATCGTCTCAACACTGCGCGCTTTCAGTGGGATGTTATGGGTACGGAGAATCTAGTCATCGCTCGAACCGACTCGGAGAGCGGACGGCTCATCTCGAGCGCAATCGATGTTAGAGACCACGAGTTCATCCTTGGCGTCGAAGACGAGGGTAGTTCCCCCCTTGCGGAAACCTTGCAAGAAATGGAGGCTGCGGGTGCGTCTGGGGCCGAAGTCGACGCTTTCGAAGCCGACTGGGTAAGGAAGACTCAACTAGTTACCTTCGACGAAGCTGCTATCGGGCAAATGAAATCCCAAGGCGTTCGACAGGACAAGATTAAAAAATATATCAAGGCTGTCGAGGTCGACCCCAACATGGGCATTACCAAACGTCGGGAACTCGCGAATCGGGATGCCATAAGACCTATCCTGTTCAACTGGGACATCCCGCGCACCCGAGAAGGCTACTACCACTACCGCGCCGGCCTGAAGGCCGCCACAAAACGCGCCATCGCCTTCGGACCCTACGCCGACCTCCTCTGGATCGAGACCGGGGACCCGAACGTCGAGGTAGCCACCACGCTCGGACGCGCCGTGCGCGCGGCCCACCCCGGCAAAGGCCTCGTGTACAACCTGTCCCCCTCCTTCAACTGGATGGCCCACGGCTTCACCGACGCGACGCTCAAGTCCTTCATCTGGGACCTCGCCAAGGAGGGGTTCGTCCTCCAGCTCATCTCGCTCGCCGGCCTCCACAGCACCGCCACCATCACCAACGAGCTCGCGAAAGCGTACAAGAAGGACGGCATGCTCGCGTACGTGAACCTCGTCCAGCGCCGCGAGAAGGAGCTCGGCTGCGATGTGCTCACGCACCAGAAGTGGAGCGGCGCGAGCTACATGGATGGGATTGTGGGGGCGATTCAGAGCGGGAGCAGTGGGAGTAAGAGTATGGGCGCAGGGAGCACGGAGGCGCAGTTTGATTGATTAAAAGGCTTAGATCTTGGCTATATCTACCTACCTACCTACATGATCCTGTCGCAGCGTCAGAGTTTGAGCGGATATTGAACTCCTAACACATGCATGCCTAGAGAAAGAAGAACGAGGAAGCTGGTGAAGTCGTGGACGTATGTATGCATAGAGAGCGAATCCTTTCACGCCCCCCATGTGTTTTAGGGGGGGGAGGGGCTTCTTTTTGGATATTTAAGTACCTAGGAGCTATCTAGGTGTGCCTAGGGACGTAGCTATAGTTCGTGAAACCGCGCACTCCAGAAGCGAGGCCAAACAGACAAGTTTAAAGGAATTTCCCGTCTTATTCATGATACCTACTCTGCATTCTCCCTTTCTGGCCTAGAGTACCTGCCTATTACTTGGGTAGGTACCAGAACGGAGGACGCGAGTAAACCCAAGTGTACCTACTGTACCTACCCACCCAGCTAGGTAGGGGGTGGCTTCATCAACTTGTGCCTCTCATCTCCTCACATCACAGTTCATAGCGCCGTCTTCGCAGCATTATTAACCGGCGCCCCCGTCGGCGGCCCCTCCGGCGTGACGTACGCCTTCGTCATGCCCCCATCCACCACCATCTCGTGTCCGTTGACGAAGCTCGCCTCGTCCGAGGCCAAGAACAGCACGGCCTGCGCCTGCTCGACGGCCTCGCCAAAGCGGCCGGCGGGGAAGTGGATCTCGCGCCTCAGCCTTTTGGGGACGTCGTCGCCGAGCCAGTCCTGCAGCAGGGGGGTGTTGAGGGGGGCGGGGCAGAGGCTGTTGAAGCGGAAGCCCTCGCGGGCGTGGACGATGGCGAGCTCGCGGGTGAGGGCGAGCACGGCGCCCTTGGAGGCGGTGTAGGCGAGCTGCGGGGTGGCGGAGCCGACGAGGGCGACGACGGAGGCGGTGTTGATGATGCTGCCGCGGGTCTTTTTGTGGCGGCGGAGCGAGAGCACGGCGTGCTTGCAGCCGTACCAGACGCCCTTCACGTTGATGGCCATGGTCAGGTCCCAGATGTCCTCGGGGGTGCCGACGGCGTCGTCGTCGCGCGCGTGCATTATGCCCGCGTTGTTGAAGATGATGTCCAGCCCGCCCCAGGCGTCGAGGGATTCAACGGTGGCTTTTACTTGGTCTTCTTTGGAGACGTCGCAGGTCTGGATGGGGGGGAGAAAGAGAGATGCGTGCGTCAGCTGACGAGTCTATCTAGAAGAAGAAGAAGAAGCTGTTTTTTGTGATGTGGTTGTCGTGCGTATTTGCACAGGAGAGACAGCCGGAAAGGGGTGACAGCATACCATGGTTTCTACTCGGCTGGCTTGGGGCACCAGTTGCAAGACCTTGGCCTTGGCTTTCTGTAGTGCTGGGTCGGAAATATCGACCATCAAGATATTGGCGCCTTCTTTGGCGAAGAGGATCGAAGTCTCGAGGCCGATACCCCTGTGCAAAGGGTTAGACTCAGTATGCTTGCTGCCTTCCGAGACTCCGGTTTTTGTCTCTCTTCTCCTCTTCATTGGATAACATACCCAGCACCTCCAGTGATGATGGCATTCTTGCCAGCTAGACGACCCTTGCTCTCAGATGCCATTTTCACCACTGGGAAATCGTTTCTTTTCTTTGTATGTAGGTAATATAAGTAGATGTAGGCGTAGAGAATGGAAAGAAGATAGTGTCGAATAATCAACTGTAAAGTACCAGTTCGTGATGAACGGATTATAGATTAGAAAGCTAAAGTAGCCAAGCTGTCACGGAAGCTTTCTAGGGGTCTCTTGATATACTAGCCCTAGCATATCTACCTAGGGTTACGTAGGTAAGTATTACATAGTAAGTAGGAGAGATAACAGCTCCGTCTCCCCCCGTCTCCCGGGACCTTAATAATAAGGGCTTTAGCTATGACTAGTGCTAACGTTGCCTGGCTTAGCGTTGGAGGGGCAGTTGGTCTGTAGTACGACGATAGACCCATTCAATGCCGACAACGGCGTTCCGACAACGGCAGGATAGGCATTGATAAGGCGGGAGAATACCTTATCACGACCCGGTATCTAAGACATAGTACTGGGTGTTACCCAGTAATACACATAGAACCATCCATTTAATGTTGTGAGTCTTGAGACGATCCATCATCCTCACACTCTCAAAGTCTCTCATGTGGGTTCCTATATTTTATCATACTTTATCAACCCGGCTCAACTCGGTTATGAGTGGTTTAACCAAGTCCGTTAAAACCCATCATCTCGAAGCAGACCCCTTTCAGGATGAGCATCGTAGGTAACATTAGCTGGCTGAATTCTTGAAGATGCATTCATTTCAGATATCTGCGTAACCTCCCCCCGGGAAAGGGGTTTCATGATAGTTTTCAAACTCTAAGACCTGTCACTTAAGTTTAGCGCGTATTCAACATATTCAGAAACGACTGGGTTGGGATTTATCGGAGCTCTCCCAAAGCTTTAGACTCGCTTTAATGACTCTTCCAGTCCAGATTCCAGAGTAGACGAATTCAATCTATTATTCGACAAAATTCATCGTGCCACCGTCTGGGTTGTGAATCTTATCAAACCGCCAAATACTGTAAACTTGAGGTACAGGTAAGAATATAGGAATCGGGGAGGCCTATGACAGGTGCTGTTCATATGGCTAATGAGGCTCAAAGCTCCCGGAGTGTATATGTGATAAAATCGATCATGGATGGCTCTAGAAACCGACCATCCTATCGCTGCTGTTGGTATATCAAAGTAATCACCTCGACACCGCCCATTGACGATCACAATGGCATATACTTTGAAGATCATGGTCGCCTTCTCGATCCCGTATGCCCGCTTCAGGATACGGAAATGAACACGACATTGTTGACATATGTGCCACACCGACGTATGCCTGCCTCGTAGAAACTTCTACGTAGGATTTCGGGGCAAGTGATTCGTGCGGTCTTCCCGCAACCAGGCTATTCCGCCTACTTCCGAGCGGTGAGATGATGATGAGAGTGACACCTTTCCATAGTGTCGGGTCCAGTGAATTGGTGCCTGATGTCTTGAGTCATCATGCCGAGAATAGTTCATCCAATACCCTCGGATATGAATATCGGGCATGGAAATATGCCGTCTAAAGCCGGACAGCCCTGACAGGCAGTCAGATGACGATGGGATCAAATCGTAACTCTATTGTCATGGGCATGGGAGGAATCATAGTCATTACTGTAGAAAAAGGGGGTTTCAATATATTCACCAAAGAGCCTCCTTTCTGAGCTATTAGCTACCTAGGTAGATTCGTATTCAGGCTTTATGGTCTCGTGCGACGCACTTGGCTGTATTGGATCAGGACAGAGAGACGATTCATTGGTGATGGGTAAGCAACATTGTTTTGCAGTTATGAACGAACGGCACAACATATGCATTTGTGCGGTACGTCGAGCAGGGGGAAAGACGAAAATCTGCAATGACGTATTGGTCAGGAACTCTGTGAGCTGTTCTATGGGTGGTTATCGAGGAAGGGCGGAAATGTGTATGGCTTCGAGTTTGCAGTGAATTGGTCACACGACGTCAGCCGATAAATTAAGACCTTGTACAGAATTCACGTAAGAAGCGGGACTGTATGGATAAATCACTCAATTATAGGATTGAGGGGTTCTTTTCATTGGACTGAGCCAGAAAGGCTCCATGACGATAGGCCTTGGGAATGGCGGGTTGTGGGAGTAGGAGGTCTTACTCAGTCCGGGTAGACCTGGGCCTGGGGGATTACTGCATGAAGTCGATGAGCCTCACATAAGGCAAGACGCGTTCAAGCAATGTTGTTGGTGATGTACAATTGTACTAGCCATATGAAGTGACGATGCACGGGAAAGATGTATGGGGACGACGTACGAGGTAAGAGACGCGGTATGTAAGTAAGTAAGTTGGGTGTTGTGCTGTGTGAGCAGGCATCCTAAGTACCTAGTAGGTACATGTAAGTGAGAGCTGGTTCAATATTCTTGGTAACTTCCTTGGTAACTTCCAAGTTGGTATTGAAGTTCAAGATCCATGGATGACTTCAATGTTTAAACTTTGATGTTGCATATTGGTAGCTAAAGTACCTAGGTACTTCGTACAATATCTTGAAACTTTGGATAACGGCTTCCTGTAACGGGACTTTTGCTACGGGCTGTATCAGATGGACACGGATCTTGCTTGATGTGTGTGGTGTATCTAGTACTTATTGGGTATAGCCTGGGGGTACAATATTTAGTGGCACATGGGACTCGGGAAGCTTATCTCTACCAATCATCTCATTGTGCAGTACTTAGTTATACCGATCCTCGAATTATACATGTACAATACATCAGATTACAGATTACAGATTACAGACTACAGATTACATATGCACATGGCATTATCCAACCAACTGTATCTTCTTCAGCCTTATACTATTCAATGCTGTTCCATTTCCTGCATGTAACCTTTGTACATTGATACTACATACAGACTAATGTATGTAGATACGTAGTTGCACTTGCAATCTCACATCCATACGAGTGCTCTCGTCTACCTAGTACCTACTTGAGGGACTATACTGGGATATAGTAGTATCATTACGAATCAACACTCAACTCTCACAAGAACTAACTTCCTATATATAACTTCCTATATATTATTGCCTCCTTCAAGCTTCACTTGACAACTCGTATATGGCCATAGCAGTTCATCCTCATTAGTTATTCTTCACTCATATTATACCAAAGACTTGGACCCATACTCGGAATTATTCATCAATTCACTACGCCATCTCCATATTCCATCCCCGCTTTTTGTCTTGAACTTCTCATAAAACTTCTCTTCACCATGACTGAGACACATCCCATCACAGTCGAGTCTTTACCGGATCTCCTCAAAGATGATACCAAAGTGAAGTTGGCCGGCGTAGATGTTGATGGCCAACTACGAGGAAAGATCATATCCAAGAAAAAGTTTCTCTCAGTAGCCAAAGAGGGGTTTGGTTTCTGCAGCGTCATATTCGGCTGGGATATGCACGATAGGACCTATGACCAGGAACTCAAGATTAGCAATAAGGAGAATGGCTACCGCGACCTCATCGCCGTGCCTGATCTGAAAAGCTTCCGCCGTATACCTTGGGAAGATGACATTCCCTTTTTCTTGGTGAACTTCTTCGACGACTCACAACCTATGTGCGCCGATCCGCGGGGTCTGCTTCGGTCCATCGTCGAGAAATTGGAGACCAAGGGTTGTAACGCCATGGCAGGAGGTTTGTCGCATTTCTGAGTTTCCATTCTGTTTCTTTCTCTCACCCTTGCCACCTTTTCCTCTACATTGACCACGCTAACTCCTCCATAGCCGAACTCGAATTCTTCCAATTCAAAGTACCCTCTTCGTCTTCCTCTACTACGGATTCATCCGCTCCTTCTGTTGTCACCTACCTAAACAATAATCCACCGCACGCCCTGCCGCCTTTGACGGAGGGTATGTTTGGCTACAGCATAACGCGACCGACCCTCAACAAATCCTACTACCACGCAGTATATGATGCGTGCGTCAAATTCAAGTGCGATTTAGAAGGATGGCATACGGAAAGCGGGCCTGGGGTGTATGAAGCGGCGTTGGAGTTTGGCCAGATCTCCGAGATGGCCGACCGTGCTTCCCTCTTCAAGTACGTGGTCAGGTCCGTAGCTAGCGAATACGGCATTACCCCTTGTTTCATGGCAAAGCCTCGGTATGGTCTACCGGGGAATAGCGGGCACACTCACGTGTCTGTCGTGGACAAGGACGGCAAGAACCTCTTCTATCGTGAGGTCAAGGACGAGAACGCAAAGTACTCCGATATTGCCCATCTAAGCGACTTGGGGAGACATTTCCTCGCGGGCATTCTAGAAGGGCTGCCTGATATCATGCCAATGCTTGCGCCCACCATAAACAGCTACAAGCGTTTGGTAGAAAACTTCTGGGCCCCTGTGACCGTTTCATGGGGTCTGGAGCATCGCGCCGCATCCGTTCGACTGATCGCACCGCCGACCTCCAAGCCTGGAGCCACTCGGTTTGAGATTCGTGTTCCGGGTGCCGATGCAAACCCTTACTTCGTCATGTCAGCCATCCTAGCCCTCGGCTGGCGCGGCGTAGAGAAGAAGCTCGAGCTTACCCTCCCGCCTTTGGGCAAGGGTCAAGATGTGGGGGGTAGTGCCGACCAAGGGGCTCGACTCGCGAAGAACCTGAAAGAGGCCACTGATAGATTTATGCGCAAAGAAAGCATTGCTCGCGAGGTGTTTGGTGACGATTTTGTTGATCATTTTGGCGGTACGCGAGAGAACGAGATACGACTTTGGGATGAAGCGGTAACGGATTGGGAGCTCAAGCGATACATCGAGACGGTATAAAGGCATGATTTTCTGATGATATCGTAGACTGAATGTACGATGCCCCTGTATGACAACCCTGAGCACCTACTAGGTACTTAGCACAATTGATTACAATCTTTTTTTTTATTCGAGTCGATTCGCAGTGTCTTTCGACTCGCTCATTGCACATCTTCATTGCGGCTTTTGCGTTTCTAGTCGGATGAAAATCGAGTAAGCTTTGCACAGGTAGAACTGTACTTTTTGGGCGTCAGATTATAGTAGAGGTATTTCTTGCGGTGCTACGCTGGATGCCGATCTATCTGACGTACATATAGAAGTCAATCTAGGCATGTAGGTATGTATGTAAGTGGCCAACGTATGTGTCTACGACCATTACCCAATCTCGTCACCAACCACCAACCACCAGTACACATTACATTCAACCCTTGTCCTCCCCGCTTCGTCTATAGTCGCTTGATGTCAGACCTACCTATGGCCAAGAATCATGACTCAATGGGATCATTGAATGTCGGATTTGCCATAAACTACATTTAAGGTGCCTATAGTAGATGGTATTCGACAAATCGGAAAAAGACCTCTCCAGCCTGTTATGCCCTATAACAGAATGATTGTCTTCTCACGGTGGGCTATTGTATAGGTATGTAGGTGTATATGTGAATGCAACCTGTGCCTGAAAATAGATATTACCGGCATATGTAGCCAGGCAAAGCTACAATATGTATGGATAGGCCATGCGCCGGCCCCGCTTAACGTCTTACTACCTACATATACCTACCTACCTCCCTATTTAATACCTACTCACTTGGTATCTTATACTTACCCCCTCAGGTACCCGGCGTCATAGCTTTCGAATATTCAGTTATACCTATCCGAAATGGTGCAGCATCCCGCGAACCCCCAAACCGAAACCGCTGACCCGAGCACGGCAGCAGTGGTGCAGGTAAACCCCAACCTCACCATCGCGGCACCTCGTTCGAGACGCGGCCACGGCCCAGGACTTATTCTCCTGGTCGATGATCCGGAGCTCGACCTTCGCCATCACGAGAAAACCCTGGACCCGCCGCCGTTGTACAAATGGGCGGAAGAGGGCTTCGCTGTCGCGCAGGTGCGGCTGGGGATTGGGGGAGACGACAGCGAAGGAAACGAAGAGGGGTCGGTAGAGAGTCTGCTGAGCCAGGCAGTCGCGGAGCTGGCGAAGCTGCCGGCTTGTGACGAGAACGAGAGGGGGATGGGAGTTATCCGTGAGCGCCAACCCAAAAAAGAAGAAAAAGGAAGAAGAGGAGTTTTTATTGGGTACGGGGGCTAATTTGCAGGCGCTGCCGCCAACAAAGTTTAGTTTACACGTCAGCCGTAGAGCCGGCGGTGCTGGAGGCGATCCAGACATGTGGCGCGGCGATCTGCGCGGTGGTGTGCTACGGCGCACTGGTTCCTGCGGCCATCGCTGCCGAGAGCGGCTTCAAGCTGCCGCTGCTCATGCACGTGCCCGGAGCAGCTGAAACGGAGAACACCAACGCAGCAAAAAAAGGAGACGATGGCCAGGAGGCAAAACGCCACTACTACGCGGCGGCGGGCGGCGCGCAGCCCTTCTTCGCCATCCCCGCGCACGCGTCCTACCACGCCGCCTCGGCCAGCGTGTCGCACACCCGCACCCTCGCCTTCCTCAAGCCGCTCACGGGGGGCCCGCTCTTCGACCTCGAGGCGATCTGGGACGAGCACACGTACTGGGAGTTCGACGCGCGCGACGTCGCGGCGACGATGGCGACGATGGTCGAGCAGCCCTACGTCAACCACGTGCCGACGCTCACCGGCGGCGTGGGCCGTGAGGCGCTGACGCGGTTCTACAGGGAGCATTTTATCTTTAGCAATCCGGATGACACGGAGCTGGAGCTGGTGAGCAGGACGGTGGGCGTGGATAGGGTGGTGGATGAGTTTTTGTTCCGGGCGACGCACGATCGGGTGGTGGACTGGCTGTGAGTACCTAGTTTCGGGTATCAAGGTGTCCGCGGGTTTGATGCTGCGGACAGACAGACAGATAGATGCTTATGGACAGTTTAGGGCGCCCGGTATCCCCCCCACCGGCCAACACATCAGCGTCCCTTTCACAAGCGTCGTCAACATCCGCGGCGACCGCCTCTACCACGAGCACATCAGCTGGGACCAGGCGACGCTCCTGCGGCAGCTGAAGCTGCTTCCGGAGTATCTCCCGTTCCCGTGCCCCGTTGCCGGAGAGCCGTCTACTACTACTACTACTACTACTACTACTGGTGGTAGTGGTGCCACTGGCTATGAATACCGACTCCCCGTCGCCGGCGTCGAGAGCGCGCACAAGTTGGCTGACCAGAGCTCGGTGGAGTCGAATGCTATGCTTGAGTATAGGTATAGGAAAGCCAACTAACATAGGTACTGTGTATGTAAGACGGGCGGGCTACTGTTAATACCTAGGGTATATGTAATTGGCCTTACATAGGGTAGTGTACCTAGTGTAGCACAAACGCGCACAGCGAGCCGCATGGGCGTGTCTCTTGGTCGGACCACAAAAAAACAACAACAATATTGTATCGTTTCGTTTCGTTTGCATAAAGCTTGTTGTGTGTTATGTGCAAAAGTGTAAGGTGTGAGTGAACACCATGCCAAGAGAGATATCCAAGGTTCTGCTTCGATCATGATATTCTACAGGCTCACTCGTATAAACCTTGGGATATGGTGAGTGAGTGAGGGATGAGAGGCGTCCAATAATAATATTAGTCCATGGTAGATCACAGTTGGGATTTCCTCTTCGGCGCCGTCAACCCCAGCCCTGGACCATTCGGCAAAACGCTAACCGACTTCAACAAGCAACGGCATCGAGTTCGGCTTCGGGCTCAGCTACGACCGCCTGCGCCGCGCCCCGCGGACTTTTGCTGCCCCGCCTGAGTACGACGCGAGGATCCCTGGCAAGGAAGAGGCGCTCTTCCCGGGGGCTTTCGCAGGCTTGAGAAATATATTTACCCGTACCTCGACTCCGTGGACGATATCGTGGCGGGGAAGTATCCGTGCCCGTGCCCGTACCCCGACGGCTACGAGGGGGGGTGTCGGTGGTGGATTTCCCCTGCGCGGGTTTGATATGGTGATGTTGGAGGAAGGCGGGACTAAGACCGTCACGTTCGAGTTGACGAGACGGGATTTGAGCTATTGGGATGCCGAGCGGCAGAACTGGGCTATGGTTGTGGAGGGTGAGTGTGAGTTTTGGGTTGGTCGGAGCTCGAGAGATTTGCCGGTTGCCTAAGGGGGCTTGGTGATTTAGGTATCGCACAGTACCTGGCTCGTGCTGTTATGTGTTGAGGTTTATGGTCGTGAGAATCTTAGATATTTGCCTACCTAGTTTAATAAAGGAGGTGGTATATACAAGTATAGTTCATTAAAAGAGGTACGGGGCCGCATTTGTTCTCGCTTCTGTTCGCCATAGCGATTAATCCCTTCCTGTGTATGGCAAGGAGCCTGCCTTAGTCGCACACGGGTTTGGATATTTTAATCTAGAGATGACAACATCTGCCATGGCGATATCTGACTAACTAAATATATGTTAAGCAGAGTCTGTTAGCTACTAGGCTACACAAGTTTGAGCCAATGGGCGTCTCACAGTATAATGGCAGGTCGACGATTACGGAGTGCATTCTGTGGCAATCTAGATTTATTGGCCATCAAATGTCAGTCGAGGGTGGTATCAAATCCTCTACGAACACTACATCAGCTCGTCGCCTAGGTATCTACTTCAGCCCCTTTAATCCTATTATAGCACAGCTTGCTTAAGTATGTCTCGTACCCCCATTTCTTGTTGGACCGATCTCTCAAACCATTGTTACAATCGTGCATCTAAGATAGTATAGAATCGCAAATCAGTTTATGGTAATGAGCTGGTAAGGAATGACGGCCGGCGGCTTCCGAGTAGATGTCCGATGGTATGATGAACCGTTGGTACCTATGCATAGATTAATCATGTCATTTTGTATCTCGTGATGTTCAACGTGTCTATATGCCCAGGTGCCTAACCAGTTTTCGATAAATATCTAGGTATCTACTAGGTATATATAAAGAAACGGGGAATCAAGCAAAATGAATATCATGAACACATGAAGGCGTACGTCGGTTAACACATAATATTTGCGACCTTGGATATATCCCCCGCCCTCGTGCTCGTCCAGAGCACAGCCAGATCCCCCAACTCCGAACCTGTCCCGCGGTTACCCAGACACAAAGAAATTAGCATTATGTTTAAACGTTCGCTCAAGATCAGGCAACCTCGGTTTCACCAACTTTGTCTAACCATTCAAGTCAGCCGCAATGAAGCAACGTCAAGGCCAAGGGGGTGGGTAGCTGTAAACTTACCGAGGTGGAGGAGCTTCCATACCATATAATTGCTGCACCGCTCTGCTGCCTAAATCCACGTTCTTGATCATATACCTCCCGAAAAATTGTGCATTTATATCGTATAACCTTTGCACGCCGTCGTAATCGCTTGGTTGGATGACAAGTTGACTGGGGTGTGGGTGGTAGTTCATGACCGACGAAGGGTTCTGCTGGCCCACGAACATGGAGGGGCGTGCAAGCTCGTCGGGTTCATCGGGGGACTGCGCGAACTCGTGTCGTAGGCCGAGGATATGCCCAAGCTCGTGGTAGAATATGTTACTCATATAGGCGCGCTGGGGTTCTTCAAAGCACAGGTCGAATACACGCAGCTTCCGCTGCTTTGGCGGGTCGCTGGGAAAAAATGCACAGGCGTAGGACCACTCGTCATCGACACCCCCGTATGTAAGTAGGAATAGAGGGATTTCGTTGCTTCCGACTTCCTCAAACCACACATTGGACAATCCCCTATTCCACCCGTGGGCTGATGCCCGAAGGCTATCCACAGCATGGACAGCCCACGATCGCCCAGGAAAGCTGGTCCAATCAACACTCCATGTGAGCCTGGTCCCTGGCCTCCACCGATAGATGTAAGGGTAAGGGTGGGCATCAAAGTATACACTCCTTACCGACCCTGGCTGTGTTCTACAAGGGGACAACAGAGTATATTGTTCCTGTCCCGCGTTCGGGTCATGCTCGGAGCCAAATCCGACCTGGTTATATTTATTGAGGGTGTTGGTTATATGCGTATGAGGCTTTGTGTCCTCGCTGTCGAGATCTATGGGGCTGTTCTCGCTCTCGTCAGTTGCCTTGTCATCGCTCTGTTTGTCCAGGGTATCTGGACCATTCAGGCTCAAGTCGAGAAGCAACTTATCGAGGATCAGGTCCTCGTTCGCCTCAGTCCAATCTCTTGGGATCGGATCTTCCTTGCTGGAGGAGCTCTCCTCACTAGTGGAGCTACTATCATCTTTACTGGGACAGCTGTCCAGGTCTAATGTCGACTTGGGGAGCTCGTAGCCGACGGTGGTAATGGAAACAGAATCGCTCTCTAGTGTGTCTCTCTCCTCAGCAGCATCATATTTTCTAGCTTGCAAGTCATCGTCATCAGGCTTAAGTCGGCTTGGCTTGGCTTGGTCATGCTCGAGAGACCACCGAACAGCATTCTCGGGCTCGTGGAGCGCGTCTGGGTTGACGAGCTTCTCTACTTCAGCATGACTAGGTTAGTAATGGCCATTTAAGCGAAGCCAAGGATGGCTCATGGAGGTTGGAAAGACAAGAACCGCCCCTTAGAAGTGCTAGACTTTATATCATCTTGCCACTTGACTATTTAGGAACCGGGATCTACGAGTCCCTGTCCATGAACCTTACTAAAGTACAAACATGGGGAGATGAATTGAGGGTAAAAGCGAAAGCAATAGGGATGTAAAGTGAAGCATAAGCAAGATCACCTAGGTAGGTACCTACTTACCTGACATACTCGTTGGTTTTCGTCAACAAGTAACGATCGGGCTCGAATAGATCTACCCCGGTTGAACAAGATATGGTCTTCGAACTAAACTATGAGAAGGAAGATAGCAGCAGGGTGTAGTTTTCGATATACTTAGGTACCTGGGTTCCTTACACTCAGGTAGAAAAAGTTGGAGATGATGTGGCGGACTCGTGCAATATTTATGTATCTGCTTCCTACATTGTACTATGTACGCATTGTATCTACCATAGTATAAGTACCAGGTAGCTTTTCGCACATGCGATTGTACCGAGAAATCAAGAGTTAGGTCTAGGCCCATAAGGACTGCTTACAAACGCCGACATGTAGACTGTATCGTGGAAAACGTGGCTGGGTAGGTATGTAGGTATGATGTAGGTACAGAACATTCACTGAGAAATGTATCGCTCCTCTCTACCATGGAGGAATGCAGCACATACGTGCTTCTGTAGATGTCCTAGGCCAGTTTTGTTACGTAGTTTGAGTTGCTCAGATCGTGCCATTGCGACTATTCAACGTTACAGTGCACCTGCAGCCGGGGCCTCGGGATTTAGGGATTTGAAAACAGCTGAAGTATAGTACCTGCCCGACCCATTTGCTCCTAGGAACACCGTGCAGTGGCTCGAGTTCTATGACGACCTCAGTGATCGTGCCAACGTTTTCAGATGAATTGCCTTACCTGTACATAGTTCTCATTATAGCGAAGACCTTATTGTCATGCTTCTTGCGTTATCCTAGTCGCATAATAGGCGACAACAGTGAGTATTCTGATCTTTTTGAGAATTTCTTCAATATATACAAATGGCTGTGAAGGTTATCCAGACAAAACCCATATTTCGTATAGGTACATAATCAGAACAGGTTCATATGCAAATCCGTTGAGTCAACATTGAAACATCGCAGGTGACCTAGGCGGGACAATGGCAGTATTAGTGGCTTGCCGATAACCTGGAACCTACTGTATCGCAGATCACTGTAGCAATAGTACTTAGTTAGCCATTCTGTTGTTAGCGAATAGCGTTGCAGAGAGCTCGCCCTCGGAATTATGGCAATGAATAAACGGGGGGATGGTTATAACTACTTACATCCGATAATTGTTGTCTATTACCGACCCGGGTACTTCAACCGGAGGCCTCTTGAAATTTGATACTCACTCATTACTGATATAAGGAGTAAATTCAAAGTTGTTATGTGTCTTGATCAAGTGCTAGATATTGAGTATGTTGATTCTCGGTTGGTGTAATTAGGAATTAGGTCATGAACCTTTTAGGGATGTTAATCATTGCAGCTCGATAATGCAGAGACCCCTGCACTAGGTACGTAACTAGAGATGAGTGGCAAAAAACAAAAAGGCATCTTTGTGGTGGTGCTGTCGGTTGGGCTGAACAAGAACGAAATGATTCGTTTCCAGCAAACAGCCAGGCCAGGGGCACCCGGACGGGGGCCAGTTAATTTGGGCACTTGACAAGTATAATTCGCGCGTCGTGGCTCCCTGTGGCCGTCTTGCTCACAATGGAAATTTCCAACTTTCCATGACTGGATGAGATTTGGTCTCTCCCCCCACATGTGATCGCACACTTCAGCCTCAATACTAGGTACCTAGGTATGTAGAATTCTCATAGTAGCGGGTAGAGTGATAACTTCGTCGCTAGCCGCCGGGCAGCACTGCATCCAAGTAAGCATTCCCCCAGAAAATCTATGTAGCAATCAAGGGTGTCGCCTTGGCATTGCTGTCTTACATTCAATGTTCAGTACATCCATGGATCGATCCTATTATGCATAGAATTAGTGCATATTCTATAAACACATTGATAGAGTCGCTTACCGAAACCACTGAAAAGGTTATGGTATGCTTCAAGATATGTGGTAACAGAACTTGATGTTCTGACCAACACTACCTAGGTAGTAGGTAGACACTGGATCCTAGAGGCGAAAGAATCAAGGCTTAGGTAGAGATGATACATATGCATGCTCTCGTTCAAATCCCTTCCATTACACAGTCCGCATTTTGTTTCCCCTCTTCTTCAACTTTCTTAGACACCTTCTCACGTACCGTTCGTCGATTTTGCCGAGGAGCTTGAACTGGGAAACGTCTCACGCCTCCGCAAGTGTGGCATTTTACGACAAGTACATCAGCCCACGGCTTTTTGCCACCCTTGCTCTTGTTCTCAACAACAGAAGTGCTCGAGTCTCCTTCAATAAGCAAGCTATCACATAATTTGCAAATGGTGTGTTTGATGGCAGGAGATAGGCGTATTTGACTCTTGAGAGATGCAGATCGGAGGTCAGTAATAAAGCGTCGCGATAATGCTTTCTTGCCGCGACTTGTTTCCTGCGATACTTTCTCCTCTTCCATAACTTTAGGGTACGTTGCCGCAGATTTGGACTCTTTTACTTCGTTTTTCACTTCTGAGCAGTTTGCCATGTATGCTGCGGCTTGGTATAAGTAGGAAATGCGAGAGTAGATTGGTCGATTCGGGACACTTCCCGAGCCATTCGATTTTCCCATGTTAATAGCGTTGAGAGATTGTGTGCAACCACGTATTTCTGTAGCAAATATAGATTCTGACAGTGTATAAAGTATGTAGAAAAACGTAAACTGATTTCATTCGACTTAAATTGTTGTTTGTGTTTGAAGTTTGAGATGGAAGTTCTCATGAGTGCTTTAGGTAAGGAAAAGTGGGCCAGATCATATCCAAGTTGAGTTGAAAGACAACTTTGAAGTCTGGGGATTAACTATGGCTGATCCGGTGTTTAGCCGCATGTACTTACAGTACGTACATACTAGGTAGAACAGTACATGCTTCAAGTTAGTACGAATCATGACTTTCTGAGGTGTAATCCACCAATGATATCCTCGCACAGCCCCATTATCCATTGCCTAGTCTGAATATGGATTAGTGTGGGAAAAAGAAAGGTCACCCTGGTCGCCTAGGTCGCGCATTCCATCCAGCTCATGCACGCAGGCACGTTGATTTCCTTCTTTTCCAGCCTGTTCTTAACAACAACTTTCTTCTCTTTTTCAACTTCCACTCAACTTCGACAACTTGACCCTCATCAACTTTCGCGCTCTTTCCATCAACCACCATCTCTTAGGTGTTGATACTTACGTCAACCTTTTTTCCCTTGCCTTTAGGCATTCTTCTCTTCCGCTTTTAATTCATTCCTACCTTTTGTCAACTCCGACAAAACCTTTCCTTCAAACCCTACATCCCCAGTACTAATCAATCAAAAATCAACCATGTCTACTGAAGAGGATCTCATCGACTACTCCGATGAGGAGTTGGCCACCAATGAGGCCACCACTACCACCAACGGCAAGAAGTCCGACGCAGCTGCCGCCGCTGGCAGTGTCGACAAGAAGGGTTCCTATGTCGGCATCCACGCTACGGGTTTCCGTGATTTCCTGCTGAAGCCTGAGCTTCTACGCGCCATCGCCGATTGCGGTTTCGAGCATCCTTCGGAGGGTTAGTCTTCATCTTACACGTTCCAGCTTTTCAAAAGTTATAAACCCCTCCTTCAAGCGTCCGTCCATCTCGCAAGCAAATAAAGAAACAAAGAAGAGAAAACAAAGGCCGTGGGACAAGCAAGACGTCAATACGCGTCAAAGCAAGCATACTAGCCACATTTTTTCGCTGTTTGTGTGCGGAGGATTCGTTTTATTTTGTTTTGGGGCGCATTCCGCATTGGCAATCCATTCGAGCCTAGTAGATCCGTGCTTATCACGTTGGTCTCGGTGGCCTGGTACAGCCTTGCGCAGCGCCAGAGATTTGGAAATACCTGCGAAAGCTTGAAAGATCCTAGTTGCCTCATCTCGACGACGGACGAGGAGATTTGGCTCTATGCCAACAGATCCGTCCCAGAAACTTGGCGCTGCTACGAGCACGCCATTTCTCTCCATCTATTGATGGGACTGTCGAAGAGGCCTCAAGGACATATTTAATGATATTGAGCGAGCGATGCTGCGATGATGGACGGACCCTGTCGAATTACTACTACCTCGCGTCCCTCACCTCTTGGAAAGCCTATCTAACATTCGATCGATTCCTTTTAGTCCAACAAACTTGTATCCCACAGGCGCTGCTCGGAGGTGATATTCTCTGCCAAGCGAAATCTGGTCTCGGCAAGACAGCTGTGTTCGTTCTTACTACCCTTCAGCAAGTTGAGCCTGTTGCTGGCGAATGCTCGGTCCTGGTTATGTGCCATACTCGCGAGTTGGCTTTCCAGATTCGCAACGAGTACAACCGTTTCAGCAAGTACATGCCTGATATCAAGACTGGCGTCTTCTACGGCGGTACTCCCATCGTGAAGGATGCGGAGACGCTGAAGAATAAGGAAACCCATCCTCACATTATCGTCGGTACCCCCGGCCGTCTCAACGCTCTTGTCCGAGACAAGTACCTTCGCCTCACAAGCGTGCGAATCTTCGTACTCGATGAGTGTGATAAGATGCTCGACGCAATCGGTAAGGACCCAGGTTTCACGATTTTCAATCTATATTTCGACTAACTTTGCCGAAAGACATGCGACGGGATGTGCAAGATATTTTCCGAGCTACCCCTCAACAGAAACAGGTCATGATGTTCTCCGCCACCCTTTCGGACGAGGTAAAGCCGATTTGCAAGAAGTTCATGCAAAACCCAACTGAGCACTACGTCGATGAGGATACGAAGTTGACTCTTCACGGGCTGCAACAATATTTTCTCAAGCTCGAGGAGCGCGAGAAGAATCGCAAGCTCAATGAACTTCTTGACGATCTTCAATTCAACCAAGTCATCATCTTTGTCAAGAGTACTCAACGTGCGACCGAGTTGGACAAATTGCTCCGCGAATGCAACTTCCCATCGATTGCGGTTCACTCAGGCGTCAGCCAAGAAGAGCGGTATGTGTGAGCCTCGCCTAGCTGTAGTAACTCGATATCTAACTATGTTCTAGTATCAAACGCTACAAGGAATTCAAGGAATTCAACAAGCGTATCTGCGTTGCCACCGACGTGTTCGGTCGTGGTATCGATATCGAACGTATCAACCTGGCGATTAACTATGATATGCCCGCTGATGCCGATTCATATTTGCACCGAGTCGGTCGTGCTGGTCGATTCGGTACCAAGGGTCTTGCGATTTCATTCGTGAGCACCGATGCCGACCAGGAAGTGCTGGAGTCGATTGAGAAGCGATTCGATAAGCCCCTTTTGTAAGTTTCATAGACATGAAGGACTTATACGTAATGCACCTACTAACATGTGAATAGCGAATTCCCCAAGGAAGGCATTGATGCCAGCACCTACATGGCATCTTAAGTCTTTCGAATATGGCATAATTGAGCACTGGTCTTCGCACCCAAAGGGACCATGTTGAGACGTTAAGAGATATGGTTGCACGCCCGTCAGTTTACGAAGGGAGGGTTTAGTTTCCACAAAACAAGGGATTCATTTGGAACCATGGCTTTCTGTACATTATATTCTTTCGGCTTGGAACGGTTGAATGGCACACCTTGAGAGAAGGCCGGAAGGACATCAGGTTGCTTATCAGGTTTCGGCTCACTGTGGCTCGTGCTCGCCTTCTCCCTGCAAGAGGCTTAAGTCACAGTCATAGCCCGTCATCCTGAGTTTCCTTTGCCATGAATAGACTGGTATGAAAAAGTTTCTTCCATGATAATGATTAATTCTGTGCCTTCTGAATATGAACGTGAATGGCAAATGTACTATTAAACCCCCGCCCTTAAAAATCAGTAGGAATAGGAGTTCGCGTACCTACCTACCCTAGTAAGTTTTTACTCCAGGAGACGTAAATAGGGAGTAGGTAGCCAATCGAACGCAAGCTTCCACGATGAGCTGCATGGTCCCTACGTATGCTACTCACTCGCCTTGGAGGTTTAGGTATAGGTATAGGGGGGTTTTCTTAACAAGACAGGAGCATAATAATTATAAATCCTTTGTGCCATGAAGTTGTCGATATAGCAACTTGTCGGGCCTATTCCGGATCTCAAACTACGCAAGCCAACCACTATGGGGCTTTCGCGGCTTCATGTAGAGGCGCTGGAGGTTTCGAAGGGGTCGGGAATGCATATAGAGGATTGGGTTAAGTGCCTTTTTAACAGTATTGGGGGGTTGGGTCTGATTAATAAATTGCTGAAGGATTGGATGGGTGTAGGTTGGGGTTGGGGTTGGTTGGCAAGTATGTAGTAGGTACAACAGGGTGTCAGGGGGGAGCGCCAAGGCTACGTAGGTTAGGTTTGTTTGTTTGTTTGTGGGAGAACACTAACATACCTACGTGGAGGAGTAAGAAAGCTTGCTGTGATGGCTTCACGGAATGAGTTTTAAGGTACTACTGCTACGTAGGTAGGAAGGTGAGAATATTGGCGAATGTTGTAGTTACCTACGAGAAGGAAAAGGGTGCAAAGGCACCTCAGGGCAGGTACGTACGTACCTAACTAGGTATACAAATAAAAAGGAAAAAAAAAAGGCAAAAAAGCTCGGTGCTCCCCGGGGAATCAAATCCAGCACGTACGAAAAACTCCTGTGAGCAGGTCGTACTGTCGAGTTAGCGTTTTAGTGAAGGGACGCATCCAGCATATGACCAGTCGGCGGTAGTTTTCTCTAACCTCCTGTCTAACCCAACGGTGTGGGGTCGATTGGGAAAATAGAATGCAATTATGATTTATATACCATACCCACCTAGGTACAACCTCGGGGTGAGAAAGGGGGGGGGGGCTATTAGTCGAGGATTTACCGATGTGGTCGGGGACGAGGACGAGGACGACATGGTTTGGTATGTGCCTTAGGTTGTTGGTGGGGAGGACGGCTGGCTTGAGCGGGCACGCTAGTGGAGCATCTTGAGGTCTGAGGAATGTGTTTACCAGATAGGTACCTAGTTACATAGGTACCTAATGAGTAGGTAGATACTCTAAGTCCACTGTAAGACTGCTAGATAATGTTGGTTAAAGGAGAATAGTTGTATCATCTGGCTTGCATAGTAGTAAAGAGTGTAACAAACAAATTCAGGGGCACTGCCTTCGTTCATAGCTTTATCTGCTTACGTTGAGGCATATGCGATATTCTGCGGTACACATATCTCTTGACATGTCCTCTATCCTAGATCTGAGGTGGATTCCTTCTAATATATAATAAAAGGGGTAAAGGGGTCTGCTCATATGAGTCATATCTGATACCATTATCAGCCAAGAAACTTCTTCTTTGACTAAGTAGGTAACCAGGAATAATCTATAGTTCATCTGTTGTCAGTATCATGAGATACATGTGTGTATAGGAAGTTCCATCTCCCGAAGATGAGCTGGTGGTTGGAGATTGTAAAATTGACCTCCGTGATGCTCTAGGTACCTACCTGTTAGACGATTATATGCCGAGCCCCTTTCTTAAATATTTCCACGATCTTTGCGTAATGACAGACTGGCTTATTCCAAACACATAAGTAGCACCTGATCATTCACCTCAGGTATATACTTTCCTGGGTGAATTGGTAGGGCAACCGTATACAGATATCAACTAACAGTCATCATTAACTCCAGAGTAAATACACCAAGGTTAGAATGTCCGGGATACCTATCAATTAGATAATTCAAGCAAAGAAAGTTTAAGAAACAAAAAACCGGTGAACGCTTAACATGCAATACGACCATGATTTGTTGATGTATAGAAGTTGTTCGAATACTACCTCTAGTATGTTTACTGATCACCTTGCGTGCTATTATCTGTCATTTCTTCGGCCACCGACAAGAGGGTGTAGGCCTCGGCCTAGAGCATGAAAAAAAAACCACGATTTCTCAGGTTGTTTTTATCCTTCATGCGCAGCAATGCAAGTATGTCGTAGCTTATAGGACCGCATATATTGGGTAGGTCGCATCAAACGTCGCGGTGACCAATTGCTGCTGATGGTGGCTGATGATAGAATAATCAGAAAATAGGGGCGAGCCTCGGCTGGACACATACGTTTGGAGGTTTCTTGCAGGATGGCGTTGACAAATGTATACCGGTTGATCGATTTATAATCTTCTATAGTAAAGCTGAGGAAATTTTGAGCTCGTTGTTCAAAGAGGTGGCCTTTTCGAGGTATATAAAATAGGAGACCGATCCATTGTCGAAAAAGAGTCTCTTAGCTCTCTACACCACATCGACAGATCATTCATATTATCTTAACTTTTAAAAAGTCTACAACACCCCAAACTTATCACCACCACAGATTCCAATGGCCGCCCCCCGCCTCATCGCCATCATCGGCGCCACCGGTGCCCAAGGGATCCCCATCGTGCGAGACCTCGTGCAGTCCGGGGCCTACACCGTGCGCGCCTTGACGCGTGACGCCTCGCACCCGCGGTTCCTCGAGCTGCAGTCCTTCAGCCCCTCCTCCTCCTCCTCCGCGGCAGTAGAGCCCATCGTTGGCACTTTCACCTCCGAGGACGATCTGCGCGCCACGTTCCGCGGCGCTTGGGGCGCGTTCGTCAATATCGACGGCTTCAACGCGGGCGAGAAGACAGAGATGTTTTGGACTATCCGCGCGTATGAGATCGCGCTGGAGGAAGGCGTGAAGGTGTTTGTGCTGGGAAATCTTGATTACGTGTACAAGAAGGGCGGGTACAAGCCCGAGTTCAGGTTAGTCTAACTCTTGCAAAAGTCGAGTCTCGACGATTATGACTAGATAGTATCCGCGATTGACTCGTCATTAAACAACCTATTATCTAACCATGGGGCTACCCTACCTACAGATGCGGCCACTACGACGGCAAAGGCCGCATAGGCGAGTGGATCCTCCAGCAAAACCAGGACAACCAAGACCGGATGAAAGCGGCGCTCTTCACGACGGGCCCGTACATGGAGATGGCCATCTCGAAGCACACCGCGATGCCGGTCTCGGTCGAGCCATCACCCGACACCGGCGCCCCAACCGCGGTGTGGCGGCTGCCCCTCCTCTCCGGCGCCATCCCCTTCGTCTCCCTCGACGACTGCGGGCCCTACGTCAAATGGCTCTTCGACCACCCCACCCGCGCCAACGGCCTCGACCTCAGCGTCGCCATCGCCCACGTCTCCGCCGCCGAGCTAAGCGGCGCATTCACCAAAGTCACAGGCCGCCCCGCGCAAGTCCTCGCCGACACCCCGCTCGACGAGTACTTCTCCAAGGTCTGGCCCGTCGACCCGGACCTCCCCGCGGCATACAACGCGGACCCGAAGGACCCCGCGACGCTGTCGGTGCGGCAGAACTTCACCGGGTTCTGGAACTCGTTCAGGCACTCGGCGGGGAACGAGGGCGTCATTAAGAGGGACTACGCGCTGCTGGATGAGATTCATCCGGGCAGGATTAGGAGCGCGGAGGCATTCTTCAGGCGCGAGGATGAGAAGGGGGTGAGGAAGGGGTTGGGCACGCTGTGGGAGAGGGTGCAGCCGGATGCCATGGCGCATGTTCTGAAGCTTAGTGAGGATAGTAGGACTGGGAAGTTGTAGGGGTTTGCGTGAAAAGGGACGGGTTTGGGTCGATTTTTTTTTTTGGGGGGGGGGGGGGGGCTGAAAAGGGGTTAACGGATCATCATTCGCTCGTTTTGGTATTCATGACTGGGAAATAAGGCAAACACTGACTCGACATATAGATTTCTTATCATTTCATGACCAAAGTACCTACTTAGGTATCTTAGACTACATATTACTGAATCCTGGATGAAATCGCAAATGTGAAGATGTAGTTGATCTGGTTACGCTTAGGCTCAATGCCGGCCGGATGGATACCTACATGATAGTACTAGGCAGACATGAACTCAAATATGACCGCATGATTACTGTATATATGTTCATGCATGTCACAATTACAGCTCTAAGCATTAGTATCCGGTTCTCTGGGACCGAGATGAAGTTGATAACATCATGATTCATCGACGGATAGAGATCTGGTTGAAAGTTTTGGGCAAATCGCCCAATAAATACGATAATTGAGCCAACCACATATTTCAGCAAACTTCTTACTTGCAAATTATTATCGAACGCTACCATCATGTACGGAAGACATTTACACGAAACCAGGAAATCTACATATGAACATGTCGAATCCCCACGAGCTCACAAGAGTGGCAAACTCAGTAGCTCCCAAGGACTGGGGCCCAAACCGGTCCCCATACCCGTCCGCAAACAAACCAGCCCCTTGCCAGTCTACAAGCAGCCCAGCCCGATGCCAGTCAAGGTTGCCCTCACGCAAGAAGTGAATGTAGGCCGCGATCGACGGACACCCTTTACAACAGGGTTGAATACCCGTAAAGTTATGGACGACGCGGTCATCGTACAGACTCATAAGCCATCCTTGGATGGAGAGAAGGGGACGAACCACTCAATTCAGGATAACAATACGACGAGAATCAGCTTGACACCTTCGCCAGAGAAGTCGGACAGGCAGAGTACTCCTCACAACCCTGACCCTGCTGATAGGGACAAATCGCCTCAGCATGAGCATCCAAGGGCGACGACATATGGGGTGGCTTCGTCCTCGGCCCGGTCCTCGGCACAGACCTCGCAACCCGGACATCTATTGTGTCGAAATGCGCATTTTCTGGACACCGACCAAGATGGAGTCATCTGGCTCGGGGATACATATCGATGTTGTAGAAAGCTGGGTACGTCACTTTACGCACTTCCACCCACCATGAACATTAACCAAAACCCCGCCCTCTAACAATTTTCTAGGATGGGGCATCATACCGTCCTTCCTCGGCATGCTCGCCCTGCACACCACCCTCTCCTACCCAACCTGCCCCAGCCACACCCCCGACCCCCTCCTCCGGATCCGCTACGACAACGTCCACCACAGCCCCAACCGGCGGATGTCGTTCGACGAGAAGGGGCTCTTGAGGTCGGACCCCGCGTGCGAGAATCTGCTCAAGAAGTACGACGTCGAGAACAAAGGCGGCCTGTCTTTCCAGGATCTGCTTCGCTTCCTCGCCGCGCAGAGACACGTGACGAGTGCTGCTAAATGGTTGCTGGTCGTTTTCGAATGTAAGGCCCCTTTCCCTCCTCTCCTCCCCTATTTTCTCATTTCTCCTCCCCCAACCTTGCAAGACCAACTGACTAAGACGCCCACGCACACAAAAACAGGGACAGCCCTCTACACGATCCTAGCGCCCTACTCAACAGTTCTGCACAACGCCGACATCCGCGCCGCCTACGACGGGAGCATCCTCTCGCAGCTCGCCTCGGAGCAGCTCCGCCAACACCCCCTCCACCCATCCCCAAACCCGGCCCAACCCCAAGATCAAACCAAGGCGCAAAGCCTAAACCACACCCACATCATCAACAACGCGCAGGACTACATCGCCGGCACGACCCGCATCTCGCACCGCAACCGCACCGAGATCCACGTGTGCCGGAACCAGCACCGCTCCTGGCGGTCGACGATCGAGTCGGCTCTCTCCCACCTTTCCTCCTCCTCCTCCTACTCCCCCGCGGCGCTGCTGCTAGCGACCCTCGCCGCGCTTGCCGTCTTGGCGTGGATGCTGCGATATTTCGGCGCCGGCGCCAACCACGACTCCAACACCAGCTCCAGCTCCGGGTCTAACTTCGACCTCTTAAGATTCTGGAACTGGGGCACCAACCCCCACGCCCACACAAACGCCCACACAACCACACCATGGACCTCCCTCCGCCAGCTCCTCTCCTCCAAACCCGAGTCCACCACCCACCCCAACGGCACCACCACCACAAACCTCGCATCAAGCTGGCTATCAAGACACTTCTGGAGCAACAACCACAACAACAACAACAAAAACAGCAACATGCGGGAAGGCGCAAGCTGGACGAACGAGGCGCTGTACGAGGGCTGGGAGGAGAACATGGCGTGTGGGCGGGGGACGAACTGTCTTTGACGGGGCAGATACCTACTAGGTAGGTAGGTAAACAGGTTGGAAGGTTCAAAAAGGTGGGGAAGCAGGTAGGGTGGAGAGGAGAGGAGGAAGATGTGTAGGTAGTTGTGAATTGGTGGGTACTTGCTTCAATGTCTTCAATGTTGGGTATTTTCAACACATGTTGTGGAGGGTGTGGTGATGATGATGGTGATGGTGATGGTGATAGGATTGTAGTGATTTTATAGACGGTCATACAATTACAATTTTCAGACGAACGACGTGTTGCGTGATAATCACACGAAATTGTCGAGTTAGTACAGACTTAGTCTGATGTACAATGTGTTGTTTAGTCACTAGAAAAAGAATATGTAAAACCCTATTATAATTCATTGTCTTATTGATTCATCACGGCGTTACTGATCGTATGCTATCTAGACACACTCGATGCTAAGTAGGGACACACGCCGCATCGGCCACGCCGCCTTGAGATTAGTATAGGCACCTAGGCCTCTAATAAACTCATAGCTTCAACCCCACCTGCTTAGTTCCATCATTTGTATGCCAGCGAAAGTGGTTGACCCTCATTGAAACGTTTTTTTGGCACATTTCAACTCGATTCAGGAGGACGCAAAGTATCCTAGTAAAAAAGCTTGCCCCCTCTCTTGGGTCTCCCATAGCCAGTTCTACGACTGCTACCGTCGGGGAATATAGGGGGCAAGGTTGCGTCATCGATCTGTGATTGAGGGTCGGTGACTCGAAAACTATCCTTGAACGCGGCGATGTATAGGTCTTGCAAGGACTTGTTCCAAGCTGCGATGGCATTCTCTCGCTTGATTTCTTCTGGTGATTCGATGTCAAGGTATCCTAGCTGTTGGTTCATCTTACCCACGACCTTGCCATCTACGATGAGGGGTCCTAGGATATCTTCAACCTCCGTCTTTGTTATGTTCAGTTGATTGGCAATCCATGCAATCTCCATACGAGTGTATGGCGCAATCAGCTTCAGTATCGCCTTGGTACGCATGTTGCGCGTAACCTCGTCAATATTCTCCGCAATGAACGGGTCGGCCAAGATGTCCTGGTTCTTCTGGAGTACGCTGACATAGGCGTGCATATCATCACGTTGGAATGCGTCAACCAGCTCCGTCATGGCGGCTATTCGAGGATCATTGCGATATGGCTTGGTTTCTTGCGAGTCGAAAGGGTTGATGTCGGATCTCATGAGCATGGTGGTGAGGAGGAGGTATTTGAGGACCTGAATTCGTTGCAATGATCCGGCCTCGTCATAGTTGCGAAACGATTCGAAGAAGTCGCTTTGAGCATCTTTCCAATTTTCCTCGCTCATATGCATTTTGCCGCCACATTCACGAATGATTCCCATAATCTTGGGATGTGGCACGGCAGAACGGACCTTGAGAGCTTTCTGGTAGAGTACTTTCAATTGTTTGTTGTTTCCAGTCGCAGCATACATCTGTATCTCCAAGGCGTAGATCTCCAAGGAATAGGTTCCCTTGTTAGGGTCGTCGGTTCCGTCCTCGCGTTGACATGCCTTTTGTAGCTCGCGTAGTTTCTTAGTGACCAAAAAGTATTGCTTCCGATCAAGAAGAAGCTTCGCCAGCTTGATATTGGTTTTGAGCCAAAGGCGCTCGTTGTTCGTACTCTGGAAGCAGTTTAGAGTCAAGGAATAGAACTGCTCCATAGCCTTTCGTGCGGCATCATTCTCCGACTCCTTCTCAATATAATCCAGCATATTGTTAATAGACTTCTCGGAATAATTTCGCGTGACAGCCGACTTGACGTATGTGAGAAGCTCGGTGTAATGCTCGACTGCCTATATTGATTATTAGCTTACATACTGGAAAAACAGAACGACGGGCTAGTCTAAGAACTGACCTCGTTGTATTTTCCCAGTCGAAACTCGAGCTTGATGGCCTGCTTCAGACCCTTGAAGCCCCAATCGCCTTTCTCTGACTCCAGAGCCGGAATGCCCAGAAACTCTCCGATCGCCTCATCGGGGTCACTGGACTTTAGCTGCTTGGCATTGTAATACTTATTCTCTATGTTTATATCACCGGACTCTTCGTCGTCATCGTCTTCATAGTCGAAGTCGTACCTAGTAGATGGTTAAGATTGGTTCAAGCCATAAATAATAGCAATTGCAAAAGGGACAATACATACTGCTCCGCATCCGACTCCTGCATGAAGTCATCGTCGTCTGACATCTTGGCGGTGTTTGGTAATTTGACGGTGAAGTTTGGATATTTTGTTGCGCCGGTAGGGAGAAGTGAGTAAAATGTGAATGGAATGAGTATGGAATGATATGGTAAGTTCTTTGGGGGACAAGCTGCAAAAATGCTAAGTGCCTACTGTAGGTAACCTAGCGAAGTAGACCAAGAAATGTCTTTGCTTGTTGGTGGTTAATGTTTGTTTCGGTTGTTGCAGTTGTTGTTGTGGACGTTTGGATTAATGAATAAGGCGGCTGTCTGCCCTTCTGGAATACGGAACGTTAAAGGTAAGCCTTATCTAATCGGAGCTATAACAACCTCAGTGTAGTTAATCGATGAAAGAGCGATTTGAACTGGGAACGTGGGGTATGGTGGGGCTAGTATATGTAGGTGCATGCAGTAAGTTAGTAACCCCAACCAGGTTGCTAGGGTTATGATAGTGCACTAACATGTACGCCGCTAGTTACCTAATGTTGTCAAGTGCCCAGTGGCAATCATACCTAGTAGTGACCCACATATAAAAAGGTTATCCAATCAATTGTTGATTTTACTCCGTTCACATGGCAACTTCTTAAACTTCAGCCACCCAGCATTATCATTATTAAAACTTCTTTCCCATTTCCATTTCATTGAGTCTTATTTACCCTTGAGACCCATCCACCCACCCACCATCCATCCATCCATCCATCCATCCTTAACAACATCGCATCACTCAAGCCGTCAACATGAGTTTGCAACTAAAAAAGTCATACCATCCCGCGCTTTTGCGCAACCAGAAGCGTGTTTACGAAGAAGAACAAAAAGCCTTGGAAGAACGCAAGAAGACCGAGTCGCGCATCCAGGAGATCAAGGAAGAACGCGCCAAAGAAGAACTACAGAAACAGCTTGCCATTTCCGGAGGCCGCAAGGTTGTGGATCGTGTTGAGTGGATGTACCAGGGTCCCAGCGATGGCCAGAATGGTACTACCGAAGAACTCGAAGGCTATTTGTTAGGCAAACGTCGAATAGACAACATCTTGACCAAAGGATCCGATCATGAAAACCTCAAGAAGTCTGCCGGAACCGAAACTTTCATGGCCCTACAAAACGCAAACACCGAGAGGGATACTGCGATAAAAATCCGAGAGGATCCCCTTCTGGCCATCAAGAAGCAAGAACAAGCCGCCTACGAAGCCATGATGAATGATCCTATCAAGAGAAGGCAACTGCTAGCATCTATGGGGAAAGCTGAAGAAAAGCCATCATCACGAAAGAGAGAAAAGGATGACAGGCATTCGAGACGACATAGACATAGATCACATTCGAGAGAACATCGTCACCACCGACACCATCGATCTGATTCTAGAGATAGATCTGATAGCAAAGATAGACGCAGTTCGAGGAGAGAGCGCCATGTCGACCGCCCCGAACGAAGGCGATCTACCACTAGAGACGAGCCTAGAGACAACAACAGATCCCATAGGGGTCGATCACGGAGCCCGCGTCCTAGCGACACTAGAAACGAGGGGTATCGACAACGCCACGATTACTCGGACGAGCCACCCAGAGTACATCGACATCATTCCGACGACCAAGAGGATCGGCGAGCTTACCGCGATCGACGGCCTCATAAGGATGGGCCGGGTCGCAGCCGACATAGCCAGGGCAATAACACTGGAAATTCCACTGCCGATGCGGCAGAAGAACGTGCGCGTAAACTAGCAGCTATGCAAGAGGCTGCTTCCAATCTTGATGAAGACCGAGAGAAGCGACTGGAAGCTCTGGCCGAGAAAGAGCGGCTAGAGCGGGAGGCAGATGATAAGGCAAGAGAACGATCGGGAAAGTACGGCGAAAGGGAATTTGTGAATGGGTTACGGAGGCAGGTTATTTCCTGAGCACAAGGACGGATTACGGTTACAGGACGGCGTTTGGAGTTGAAGGCTCTTTTGAGTTGAGCTTTAGGGTTGGTCTACGCACAGGTCACCTAGTGGATATGACGAGGGCTTCGTATTGATATTGAGGGATATCTCCGTGTTTAGGGATTCAAACAGCTTTCGGGTATCAGCCATCAACAGACGGCGGACCCTAGTTTCAGAAGGATGATGGTCTGAGCTTGTAATGAAAGGAATATGAGTTTGCAGGGCTGGCCATGTTGCTGTACAGTACATATGGGAAGGATGGATAGGTACTATGTCTCGTCGACACCTAGATGGAGAGAAATGCAAACTACGGACTTATTGGCTTGGTCAAACACAACAAATCTTGCCTCATTGTGATGTGGGGAACTCTAGATCGCGGGAGATATACGTTGCATGATTCTTTGCTTGTTCTTTTCGTTTGTCGTATGATATGCGTGCATGAATTCACTACCTTGGTAGGTACTTGATATCAATTATTCCATCGGTGTAATTGTGCCATCTAACTCTGATATGCCGACCGAGCAGTCTAACCTTAGTGTCGTGAACAGTCCCACGCGTCACAGCATCATTAACGATAAAACTAGAATTGCGCCCGCCCTTCTTTCTTCCCCGATCGGATCGGGATCCTACCTATGTACCAGTCCGCCGGGACGGCCCGTTGTAGGTATTCCACCGCGCTTCCGCACCGGTTCTAGTCCGTAATTATCTATTAGAGCGGGTGGGGGAGGGGCATAAGTATTAAGCCCTCGTGCTGAAAACGTGCTTTTGTTAAAGACTATGTATGCATTATATTGGATAGTATAATTAGCTACGTCATACTTCACCTATTTCAAGTTTAAGAGACAACTTCCTGCCGGGACCGAGTTGTGCATGAAGTCGTCACATTAAGCAAATATCTCAGGCCATGGATACGGGGACGTATGGGAATAAACTAATACATGGCTAACCTAGGAAGTTATGTATGCATGTAGGCAGGCAGGTAGCAGGTAATTAGGAGGAATATGCAGCTACGAGTGAGTGGGGAGAATCCGACGCGGAATTAAATCTGCTTTTACTAGTTATTACCCAATCTTAAATCCGAAACCTGTGGAATGTCCTTACATATTCTTGCATATTACAAACTATTATAACTATTCGATGCCGTCGCTGCCTACCTACGGCGTGGTAATTTGGGGCGTCTATTAGATATAATTCGACGTGTTTTGGGCATTCCAAGAGATTGACGACGTGTCTTCGAGAGGCTTAGAGGCTTATATAAAATCCGTTGTGGAATCATCTGAGGAGATGGATACGAGTATAATTGCATATACTCAGCCATTCTTCTCCATTTTCCGTCATTTTTCTCCCAAGCTCTGACTAATCGGGAATTGGCAGTAGGATACCTAGATAGATGGTCGGGTATGGAGTAAGAAGGATCTGCTTTGCAGCCAGTGGTGGACGGTTGCTTGCATAAGGCAGGCATGCAATGCAATGCCGAAAATCCATTGGGCCCCTCTGTCTGGATGAACAGCATAGAGTGCTAGGCATGTATGTAGGTACCCAGAAGCAGGTTTTACGACTCCTGAAAGAGGTTCATCTGGTCTGAAATATCCAATTTATGGAGATGGATATTATTGCAACTGTAAGGGACTTTTTGGACCAGCCACATTGGGACACCACACACATTAGTACAATAACTATTATCTCTCTCCTGTCAGAATTAGGTATCAAGGCGAACTGATAATTTATCAAATCCCAGAAAGTCCAGGAATGTAACCCAGCGTTGCCCCAAGTTAGCCGCAAGCCCTTCTGTTGCATTTTTGCAAGGAACGCGGAGTGGCCAATTAAGCACGGGTACCGGGTTGACTTTATGAAGATCCTCATGACAAAGGGGATTTCAGCAGCCCTTCCCGTTTTTTTATCGCCCTCCCCGCGGGAGAGGTACATTCATTACATAGTAAATATCAAGGAGTTTCATTGTATATCATAGTCACTATAGCGATAATTGATTAATTTCTTATATAATAATACGATAACTATTAGAAACAAATACATACAAATTCCAAGGCTGAACAGTTTTCATAGGATAACGCCATTCTACATAACTATCTATTTTAAGTAAATGACATGACAGGTGTGCTGGTGGAGAATGTCAAGTTTGTGAGGCCCCTATAAATGTTGTATGAATGTAATGTAATACGGAGCACCCACGATACACAATATTATGTAAAAAGTGTGGCGCCGTTGGATTCTCGTACATATGCCAGCTGAGGTGTACATACTACATAGGTAGGTGGCTGCGGGGTTAATGTTATTAAGGAAAGACATTCTTGTGATACGTCCCTTTTTCGAACCTTTTTCTTTGCCTCACATGGGACAACATCATTGATGGCTAACAGGCTGGCAGGCGAAGTTCATACATCATGATACATGGGATTGATACATGGGAGTTCGAGAACAACAAGCGTCTGGTTAGTTTAGTTAGGTAGTTAGGTAGTTAGGTAGCTACAAAAGCTAAATATAGGTAGCGTCAGTCAAGTAATACACTGCATACACTGCCATACAGTTGATGTCTGAGATGATTGATCAACTTATGAGATGTGTACAGCTTATGTACATAAATAATGGAAGTTTGTACCACGGTAATATCTGCAGAGTGGTCCGTGAGTCTCGGCTGGTCCTATCTAGCGCCACAACTATGAACTGGCACTAGACCCCTTTGCGACGTTCATGAGGCTTATGGTTCCCTGCTAACCCATCGGGGGCAGGTAGTCCAGATAATACCTGCTTAACTTTACCTAGCACATCAGCACATCTCTTCTAACTGTAGTAAGTTGTAACTGGACTTCCAATGTATGTACCTGTGTTAACCTAGATTGGCTTAAACTGTCAACCTTAAACAACAATCTTAACAATCTTAACCTCCTCACCTTTTCCATTTCCACATTCCATTTCTGATCGTTTACCTTGATATTCTTTTAATTCACCTGGTCACTCTTGGGCATTTTAAACCCTCCCCCCCCTTTGACCAACTATAATCACCCTAATCATCCTCTTCATCTTAACAATAATCAACAAAAACCGGTATATTGCATCGGATTGCGCCGACCATCTTAACCATCTAAACCATCCAAGCCGATCCGAAACCAAACTAATTATTACATTACCTGCACTGTAACCTGACAGTCGCATCGCCCTAACTATCCATCAATTGAATCGCCTAACTTCCACTCCGTCTCCGCCTCCCTTCCCTACTACTATTTACTACGAGAAACCCCCCATCCTATTTTAACGTTTACGCGCTCCCACGACTCTTGCGACAAAAATTCAAAATGGTGTCGCTCTGTGGATTAGGAGGTTCTAAGAATGTTCAGCGCAAGCTGGTACTATTGTGAGTTGCTGCTGCTGCTGCTCCTGCTGCTGCTATGACGTGCACGGTTGGGCTTTGTCGCGCGTCGATCCACGTCTAGGCTTCTAGAATTCAATCTACTAACACTAGCCTTTTTCTTATCATTTAGGGGTGATGGTGCTTGTGGAAAGACATCTTTATTGAACGTCTTCACGCGAGGATACTTCCCGACAGTTTATGAGCCGACGGTCTTCGAAAATTACGTTCACGGTACGTCTATTGATTGGCTATTAGATTGCTTGGGATTGAAGGAGCATTCGTTCCCCCTTGCAATACTACAAATGCCATGCATATCTGGCTTACACTGAGGCCTTATTCCCACGGAATATTTACTAACTTATTCCCAGATATCTTCGTTGATAACGTGCACATCGAACTGTCATTATGGGATACTGCCGGTCAAGAAGAATTCGATCGTTTACGAAGTTTATCATACGACAACACAGACGTAGTGGTGCTCTGTTTCAGCGTGGACAGCAAGGACTCTCTAGAAAACGTGGAAAGTAAATGGGTTGGTGAAATCCAAGAGAATTGCCCCAACGTCAAGTTGGTCTTGGTGGCCTTGAAGTGCGATCTACGGGAAAACACCGATGAGGATGATGAAGCAGGCGCGAGTGGAACGGATGGTGCCCAACGAGAAAAGAAGCCAATGATCGACTACAACCAAGGCCTCGATGTCGCACGACGAATTAAGGCCATGCGATACTTAGAATGTTCAGCCATGAGGAATAGGGGCGTCAACGAGGCTTTTACGGAGGCTGCCCGAGTGGCCCTCAGCGTCAAGCCCAGCGGCGAGGGAGACTCCAAATGCGTCGTTATGTAATCGCTGGATGTACCCTTCTACGCCAAATTCGAGACGAATTTCCTTCTACCGGCCCGTGGACAAAGCGCAGGAGTTTGGGATTATGATACAATTCCCCCTTTACCATTTTCAGGAGTGCACCCTCACACATCAGTTATTATGTTGTGTTAAGCATCTCCCCGCTATACTGAAGCAGCACGAATAAAATCCCGTGCCTGCCATGAAACTTTTTAGGAAGCCTACGTTCTACCATCTCAGAAGAGAGAGAGGGAGAGAGAGAGAGCAACTCCTTTTATTTGCTTGTACATAGCTTATTACTACCTACCTAACTATTCACTTCTTTTGTTTTTTTTAAAAACGTTTTATTATCTTTTTTACTATTCTTCCCGCCTTCTGCGCAACAACCCCAAAGCAAAGCAAAGCAAAGCAAAGCAACCCGATAATTTGGAATGGAATGGAATCAATTCTCATCACTGGAGTTCTTTTTTTTTCAATTTGATTCGAGGTGATTTTTAGTATGTATGTAATTCGATCGTCGAACCCGAGCCTAGTATATGTAGGTACTAGGTAGGTAGTAGGTAGTAGATAGGTACGCATGACGAAGAAGAGGGAGAAGAAAGTAGTTAATCGCTGTTAGTTTATGTAATAAAGGGGCGGGAGTGCACGTGTTAGTAACTTGCCTAACCTACATATGTACCTAGGTTAGGTATGTATGTATGTACGTATGTGATAGGTACATAGGTATGTAAATAGGTACCTCCTGCATACAGTACCTAGAGGAAGGAAGGGGTAAGGTAAGGTAAGGAGGAGGTTTATTTATTTATTTATTTATTTTTCCTTGTAACTATGTATGAGTGCTTGTTCGTTTCGGTGTATGTGCGTATGTTTATGTGTATGTGTACGTGTGCATGTGATTTTCAGTCACAGAGTAAACCAGCCTTACCTTACCTACCTAACCTAACCTAACTACATAGTACATACCTCTCAGTATGTACCTAGACCCCGCCCCTTTTTCGTGTGTCGTCTCTATCTTCATCTCTCGAGCTCCCTGTTTTTTTTTTCCTTTTCCTTTTCCTTTTGCTGTCGTTGTCATTGTCATTGTTGTCGTTAAGGTTGCTGTTAGTTAGTTAGTTATACCTATAGACTGACTGAGTAACCAGCCAACCAGCCAACCAACCAACTGATGGACGACCTGTGGTTAACACGGGCTACCTACATACCTAAGTTAGATATCTACTTCTTAGGTACCTGGGTAGCTGGAGATCGAAAGGAAGAAACATTAAAGGGGTCCAAGACAGACAAGACAGTAAGGCAGGCAGGCAGGCAGATAGCTGTAATATATACCTATACCTATACCTATACCTACCTCCTCAGTATACCTAAAAAGATGTACTTAACAAAAAAGAAAAAGAAAACCCCCGAAAACACCACATATTTGCATCTTAGGTAGGTACTCCGTATATTAACTGATGCTCTACATGTAACTAACCTCCCCTTGAGTCGTCGCGTCTCTGACACGAGTTTCTGGGTAGCGGCGTGCATGTACTTCGTACTTCGTATAACGCGTTAATTAGGTACCTAGGTACGTGCGCGAAGGTATCGTGGTTAGATTACGTAAGGTTCGAGTCTTTCACAGTACGGCTTATAGCAATTGACACCTAGTTAGGTAGTGTATCGATATATAGAGTACTTTCCCCCTGAGTGTAATGTATAAAACAGAAAACTCAAGCTATGGGTAGGTACCTACCTATTGTCTATTCGGGACATGATTATTGCTCCAACACTGTGATGTCTCTACATCCCATCCCTTTTTAAAATGCAAGATTGGTATAATATCTGCATCTGCATCTGTCACGAGGCAAAACCTAGAAGATGCAGAACGACATCGTTGTTGTGCGGGGATCTCTACCATATCTCCACGGCTGTGGAGGCTATGTATGGAAGCTACCTACATATACACCATGGATGTATGCTGTCTTTGTTCTATGAGACCCCCCAATGTACTCCTTGGTAGACCCTTGACAGCATCATGACACCCTTCTCGTGCGAAATGCTGGCATATCAATGAGTTGATCCCGTAGATCTGTGGCAATACGAGTAAGCGGCGTTGAGGTCCCCGATGAAGAGCGAGATCCAACCCGAGATCTTGGATTGGTGCCCCCGAGGCGGGAGATGATGATGTTCAAGTCGTCTTCGTCCTCGTCCTGGTCCACCACGGCACTTCCGACTAATGGGCTCCCCGTAATTGATTCTGTGTTACTAGTGATGGTATTGTGGCGGAATTTGGCCCGGGCAATTGATGACCTCGGCCTAGTAGACCCCGCGCTGCTTCTGAATTTCTCTCGGCAGCGCTGTCTCGAGACCTCCACGCCGTTAATGATGCAGGCTATAGGCTTCGTATCATCGTGCTCTCTTGTCTGCGATACTTGTTGGTTATAGATGATGTGCCTCAGTAGTTCCATGGACCTCGCCTTATGAATTATTATGTTAGTTAGGTATAAGTAATATCATTTTGATGTAATTCTAAGGTTGGTAGTGGTGCTCTTGTATTGTATTCTCGTACCTTCTGTTCTTCATCAAAAACTGGGTTGTTTATTGCGAGGTCAATACGGCCCAAGGTATCGGCAGAGATCTGCGGTAAAGACCTCGATGACGAACTGGACGAGCCAGCTGACAATATCAACCGATATAGGTACTCTAACTGCAGGTCCGCTTTGTTGTAGTCGTTCGTGTTGAACGAATTAATGGCTAAATTAGCCATTAATAAATTTGGGTCTTGAGGAAGCGAAATATTTGTGCCGGCGATATACCCAATCTGCTCTATGGTAGCCGTTATGGAGCTGATATATATTTCCCCTAGCGGGTTAGAGCCAACTACATGTCCGTAGATAGCAAATGTTTTGGCATCGATGACCACAGATCCAGAGTCACCACGAAATAGCCCTGAAGGAACGTAAGCATATATACCTAAGTACCTAGGTTAGGTATGTGTTTAAAAGAAATACCGAGTGACCTACGTTGATTGTTGTCTAGTACTAAACACCCTACCTCGGAAGGTTTGCAGCTGTTGATACCTCCTAAGAAGGCCATCGACGGTTGGATTTTACCACGTTTAACGATCCTAGAAGGCAGGATTATAAGAATTTCAGTCTCGGTTTTGGGAAGTGCCGCGGGTACTGGTGACATTGCTGTCAGCTCCGGCGGATTGCTCGAGGGGTTGAAAAATAAATTTGGCCGTAGTTGTTCTGGTTTGGTTAACTTGATAAGTCCCCAGTCAAGATCAATATTCATACGGCGGGAAGGGTCAGCCGGGGGCTTTATTGGAGCTCCCCTTTTCATGGCTCGTTCTGATTTCCTGTCGTCTTTCGCGTCGGCATACCGCAGTTCATATTGGCAAAACCCTATGGACTCGCGGTCACAAGTTTCAATTTCGCTATTAATGTTATCATAATCATCAGAATCTTCTTCATCCGCTAGGCTTTCGTATAATATGTCATCGTCAAAAGCCGAAGCAGTAGACGCCTCTTCTTTAGAAAGGCTGTTAATGATTTCGTTTGACTCCCATCTTGCCTTGTAGCTTGGCTCCTGATTATGTAGGTGGTGGTTGGTGTGAGATCGTATACCATGTCCTGCAGTCAACCCATAGTAATCTTGACCCATCTTGAGGACACAGCCTAAAGTCGAAACTTGACTGAAGCCCGAAAATGTATATATCCGTGTGGCACATAGCGTTAGTGAACGGTCATATATGTCAGGAGGATTGGATGAAGCTGTTGCACTTTGATTCCCGAAACAGACGTGAGCTCCATAGGATAGTTCCCCTAGGAGAGTCATTGGCCTTGAAGTACGCCAGAAGTAGATTCTGAATAGCGGTCTGTGTTGCTTTTTTTCGTTGTCTTGGTTCCTCAATACGTCCAGGAAATTCCTTCGATTCTCCTTTAATAGGTATTGCGCCGTAAGATGATCTTGGCTCAGGAGCCTCCTGAGGGGTTTGAATTCTTGAGGGCGACAGAATACCAAGATAGATGGACGTGCTGTTTCTGTTGACGAGCCACACAATTTGAGACCATAGTTTATATGCTTTGCACCACCCATTAACCGTCGATCCTGTAGAGTGTTTTCGCGGAAGAGCCTAACAACTTGGGGGTATCTGTCGTGATGCTCGCTTGGTATTACAGAGGTACCGTGGCGATATACGTTTATCGGCGGTGAAACGTGTGGAATTGGTAACGGGTCGTGATAGGGATCTTGCTCGTTGCTTAGAGTCCCCTCCTCTTCATTAGACAGAGTGTTCGGGGTAGGTTTGCTAGTTTTGTGGGTTTGGGAGGGCACCGAATCCTCATCTACTAGTTTGGCGGCCGTGGGACTTGAATGGTTATCAACGTTTGTTGCAGATATATTACTTTCTTCGCCTGGGTCCTCTGGGGTGCGTGGTGCTTCATCAGCTAAATCAACGCCACAATTCGTCTCAAGAAGGCATTTTCCTTTAACGACTTGAGGAATGGTACCCTTGCCAACTCGACTGTTGTCTAATGCGTTGTTGCTGTTAGATTGGGACGGCCGCATATGCTTGACTATGTCTCCTTGTGGTACCATTGCCTGGGATGTGACTTCCATCTTCTCATTATAAGGTCTACGGACCATTTGGTCTGTAAGCCTTATCATATTATGAATGCCATGATGCACATTGAATGGGATCACTTGTATAGGTTGGTGAGAACTCGAACTCTCTCTGCTCTGCATGGTAAGTTGCTGGGCCTATTGCCTTGATTCCACTGGGAGCTAGGTATATTATCAGCTTCAGTCTTTCTTCTGACTACTAAAAAGCATGAATCTAAATGGAGAAACTTGAAAAGTGAGAAAGGGATATTTGTTACTTGCGTTGAATTATTCGACAGCTGACACCAATATTAGAAAAATAATATTAGAAGAAAAGTGAAAATGAAAGATCTATCATTCACCCCCCCCCCTTTAAAGCTGGGAAGGGTTGTAATACGCAGGTAGTACAACTGCCAGTGGCTGTACATACATGCATAGGCCGGTAGGGGTACGCCAAAATCTCACAAGGCATATGAAATCCTTACCATAGCCCCCCGAAACAACACAGGATAAATTGACATTAGGTAGGTAGGTAGTTCGTCAAGTACCTATACTTTCCTTTTCATGCCGGCTGTTTCATATAAATGCCTATATCTGCGTGCTTTCGTCATTCGACTAGGATTCTATTTCATCGCGAGGCTCTGAGAGGTCCATAGATACCTACTAGGTACCTAATTGTACAACGTACTAACCTAAGGTTAGGTTACCTATTTAAACCGGGCAGGTTCATCCCTCTTCATTACCGAGGAAGGTAGGTATAAAGGAATATTCAGGTACTCAGGTACGAAGTGTGTCGGTCATTTCCATAACATGAATCTACCGAGCGAAAATGAAAAGTACGAGATAGCGGAGCAACTCTTGGGCATTTCCTTGGACCCTTTAAAGCCAATATCATTATTCACAACATATTTCAACTATTATGAGTCAATCATATGCCCAAGTTTTACAAAAGATACAGTTGTCGATATTGTCACCCCAGTGCTTCAGGGGCATTCCGACGTCCTCAGTTACGCGCGATTGCTTTGCGAAAAGAACACATCATCCCGAGATGAAATAGTAGCCGAGTGGTTTCCCAATCGTACTAGCACAGCAGCAGAAAGAGAGCACATCTCAAGATCCATAGTCAATGTTGCCTTTATGATCGATTGCAACGAAAGGGACTATTACCCGGAGGGATACCACGAGAATGGCCAACGAGCGAAGTGGGATGGAAGCCAAAGCTTCCTGCACTTTCTTGAGAAGTCATTCCCGTATGAGAAGGATGACACTGATGTGACATTGGGTGGCAAAACATCACTCAAGGCATGGAAGCTATCCAAAAGATACGGAATCAGCATCAGGGGCACAGATAACCTCCTAGAGCACCTAGCGTACAACCCAAGGGAACAAACCCTTACGGTATTCCACCACGTCGAATATCTACGTTCAAATCTCCGACGTTCCAGGGATGCGAGTTTGGAAGATGGATTTGCTAATAGTTTAAAACTGTACGCCATCCACTCTATACTTCACTTATGCCCTTACTGACTGGGTATGTTACCTCACAGAAGAACATTGCCGCCACAACTCTTGTTCGAGACAATTCTCTCCATACATTCGATACTATTCCCAATTGCCAGTTCTGGAAATAAACGATCTATATCTCTTTTGAAGAAATGTATTCGAACACAAAAGCTGGACAAGGAACTGCTCTGGGTCGATTTCGTCCGACCAGTTCCGTCTGACTTCACCTTCAGATACTGGGGAAGACGATTGGAGAAACTTCAGGAACTCACAAGACGGCCGCCTCCAAGGAACTCCATGATGGCCTGGTTTGAAAGACATACCTCGGAGAGAAATGCGTTGACGGCTGCTATAATTGGACTCTTTTTAACCGCGCTCTTTGGTTTTCTTGGGGTCGTGGTAGGCGTACTTCAATTAGTTGCATCGTGGCTAGCATTGCAGCAGCAGAACTAAGAATGAAAGAATTTCCTCCACAATTTGAAAGCATCACTACCTCCGTATCGAGCCTACCCACCCACCTGCTAATACATACCTGGTACCTAAGACTCCTCTAAGTTGAAATATATAACCTACAGGTTTTCCTATTATATTCGACTACTCCCTAACCTCAGCACCTGTTCACAACGCATGTTAATCTAGCCCTCCTATTTCATTGCTTTCAGCTAGGTAAGTTATTATTAGGAATTACAAATAGTCAAGCTACTCCCTCTCCTTTGATTACGTACCTAGGTAGGCATCTAGACAAAGTTATGAGAAAATCTTACACAAGTGTCATCATTCAGTATCAATGGTGAACAAAGAAGATCAAAGACAATGGGCCAAGACATACGCCTTGTCAGGGATTAGAGAGGTTCGTCCAGTCGTTGTTTTCCACACATATAAAGCGGTACCCTAGGGCGCGCAACGCATATTTGAAACCAAATTCGAAGCAGCGCTGGCTAGCTAAGTTTGTTTCTTATTTCCACCATCATCCAACCATGGCCAACTTCACTTGCGGTCATGATCTGCCCAAATCACGCATCGGCGTCAACCTCGCCTACGTCCCCCGGGACAGTACCAACCGATGCCCCGATTGCCAAATCAAGACCCCGTCGGGCATCATCGCGCTGCTAAAAAACCTACAGAAACCGCGGGACATCGTGAGGACGTCGCTGATCAAGTCGCCGACCCCGAAATCGCCGCTCGCTCGGACCTCCTCCTCCTCCATCATGCGGTCGCCGCTCTCGCGGTCCTCGTCGACGGCATCTCTCAGCGCGACGACGACGACGATACGGGCGATGGACACCGCGAGCATCAACCAGCACGTGATGACGTTCGCGTTCGACGCGTTCGCGCAGAAGCGCAAGGCCGCCGCGATGGGCTTCAAGGAGCGCTACGAGGAGATGCTGGACGCGTGGGGCGAGACGGCGTACCGGCTGCTGGACCGCCGCCAGATCTCCAGCTTCGCCATGACGGCGCGCGGCCGCTGGGGCAGCGACGTCACGAGGCAGGCCCTCCGCGCCGTCGCCACCGCGTCCCTCAAGCTCAACGGCGTATACGCACCCATCGAGCCCGAGACCGCGGAGCTGTTGACGACGATAAATAGGATGATCTCGCTCATGCGCCAGCGCGCGGCCGCCGTCGAGACCTGCGAGCAGCTGTATATCATCTTCCAGGGCGCAGAGACGCTGCGCGTCTTGAGGGTCGACGTCAATATTGCGCTGGCGCAGCTTGAGGAGGGGCTGACCAGGTGGGAGGCCGCTGCTGCTGGTAAGTAACGTTTTTTTACTCTCTCTACCTACCTACCTGCCTGCCTGCCTGCTTTCCTGCATAGCTGCCTGAGGTGTTTAGTAGTTTGATAAAAATGGAATTTTGGATCTGCTCATTGTTGAGTTTACTTACCTAGGTACTTACCTAGGTACCTGGCTACATAATTTTACTGAGGTACCTGTTTGTGGGATATTCGGGGTTTTTTTTCCACTGCAATTGTGATGTCCTTTGCTTACTTTAATGTGAACCTTTTAGACTTGTAATCTTCCTCTCCTTTGATAATTTGGAAGTCAGCCTAGATACTGCGGTAAATATATTGCCGGCATGTGTACCTCATTTAGGGGTAGTTAAGACCCTGAGCTTAAGTGATCTAAATCTTTTCAAAGTCTCATTATTAACCTAGGCGTCACTATACTAGTTACAAGTGTGAAAGGACAAAGATGCGGAAACGTTTTAATAAGTAGGTATTTGTAGGTAGTTATGTAGGTAAGATGAAAGACGAACGTGAAAGCCAGTCCCGGATAGCTCCCCGGATAACTCCCGGGGCACTAGCCCATTCAAGGTCTAGTGCTTCCGGATACATGCTATAGACCTCGTCTGGCCCAGCACAGATGGCCAGCTTCTTTTAGATAGATACCTGGGTATATACACATCTATCATGTTCATCAGTATCTGCCTAGCTTTGCAGTAATGATCAGTCAAGTACAAACACTTACCAGTGAAGAAGTTACCACACATCATTGAGCTGAATCTATATAAAATAGTTCAACCCGTTCTACGTAGTATAGTAAAAATAGTGCTAAGTAAGCGGGATCTTATCAGTCGCCTACAGACTGAGATAGAGAAAAAAAAAGTATGTCTGCCTCCACTCCGAAGATCCATAAGCCAACGTACCGCTAACGGAACTAGGGTTACATAGTAGGGCATATATGCCAAACTAATCATTAAAATCTTTCATCAACAAGTCTACAGAGTCTTCTTCACAGATTTAGTGACAAATCCGAATTGGTGTAGTGGCCAACATTTGACGCTCTCATGGATTAAACACCCAGACAGGTACCGTCAAGCCCGGGGTTCGATTCCCCGATTCGGAGGACAATTATTTTTTCGTCTTTTCATCTTTTTTTAGACTACTAATTTTCTTATATTTTAGATATCTTACGTCCCTTTATTGCTGTATTTCGATGCCTTTGTGTGTGTTTTAATGTTATTGTGTAGGACAAAGGGTGGTTGTCAAATCTTGGCAATGAAGGCTAGTAGATTGTAGCACTAAAAGGCCATTGCTGATTATGAAGGATGCTCTTCTAAGACTGTGGACTTCTGTACAAGAACAAAGTAGAAACTCCTTGGGTTGTGGAGAGAACAGAATGAAGAAAGAGTGACTCTGTTTCAAGCAACTGGACTCTCCAAGCAGGCTTACTAACACAAAGCCATCGTATAGTCCAAATCATCTTTACCCCTATTCCTGATTCTCTTCCAGCCAATCTACAACAGAACTCATTCATGAAGCTTTTGTATCCAGCCATACTCTACTATACCTAACCAATACAGATGCCCGGTGGACATCTTCACTCTCTGGCATAGCCATGGGCAAGTAGGTCAAGTGAACAGCAGCCAAGTTGTAATGATGTTCTAGATATATAAAGCTCTGTGGCCATAGTAGTATATATTTATCCAAGTATATAGAACTGATAGATCCCCCCTTTTCCCCCTTTCCCCCAGCTTCACCCATAAACCAAGAAAACGTGATATCTTCCAAGTTCAAGATATAGGGTCGAATATATATCAGAGTAGATGCCGAGAAGGTGTGGTGATTCGACCTCGTCAGCTAACAACATCGATTCAGCATAAATATCGACTCCCTCGTCCATCATGTCAAGCCTCTGTAGCAGCCAACCAAGAATCACCACCCCATATTTGGACCAAACCTGATTCTCCAGTTCCTACCCCCCAAGGTTATTACAATAACACTCTCTTTATTTCCCACACTGTTCTATCTCATTTGATCTCCCAGTGGTGTTCATCTTAACAATTCTTTTCTTCCTTTCTACACATAGCACCACAGGACACAGAGTACAGTTTGGAATTGTGACAAGTTGTTCAGAAACAAATTCTTGATTCTGCCACCATTTCAATTGACGACACCTCATTTCCTGCACAAATTTACACCTTTCTCACTTCTATTATCACCAAAATCATCATTTCCCTTCTTCATCTTCCCTCTTTCCATCAAAACCACACCTCGATTCAATTCATTTCACACCCAACCGTTTATTTTCCACTTGACGAAGCTGCTCCGGCAGTAATCACGATATTTCACCATGTGCCACCTTGATCGTTGGCTCTGCCAACGATGTTGTGAAGCCACCATTACCCTGCAGTTTGAGTGCCCAAGCAAACACGATGGCGGTGCTTGTGTAAGCACAAAAACCTTTGAACGCCAGGTCTCTCTCCAATTGTGTGCAATGTGCAGAGAGAAGGGCCTGCAGGAAACCTACGGAGTTAAACCTGCCTTTGAGGACGACGTTGCAAGAAAGGTTATTCATCGTTTGATAGAGGTGTGTGCTGGCTTAGATGATGGCCATCTCGTGACACCGGTGGCCAGCTCAGGACTTTACCAGATTGAGAAGTCAAACATCGATGACGTGTCTTCCGAGGAATTACTCAAGAAACAGGTCAGTAGTGTTAGTTTGAAGCTCTACGACCGGTTTATGCTAGGGAACAATCAGGTGTCTGATTGGTTCCAGTTGGGAGAGCATCCCCCTTCCGAAGGAGGACAACCTGCGTATGTGCCAAAGTTGATTGCACCAACTCTCCAGCAAACTGATACACAGGTTGATGCCTCTGCTGGCGTTTCGCCAGTGGAACAAGCATCCAAGGTTGTTGAGCAGACAGAGAGTTCTCAGCCAGAAGAGGGCGGATCAAGCAGCGCAGTTGAGGGGTCAAAGTTGTATAAGAAGGATGGAAAACTCTCCGAGAAGGGCCAGTCTACTGTCTCAAGCGTCGCGACACCAGTCTCCTCGCCAGCGGCGTCTAGCGCGGCACCAGTCGCTGATCATGGTAAGCCAGAGAAAGCCAAGCACAGCAAACACAAAGGATCTAAAGCTAACTCCACAGGCGATTCCGATGGCAAGAAGAAATTTCCACAGCCGGCAAAGCACTACCCACCTGCGGTCCCTCGGATGGAGGACCTGCGGCGAGTCTGGGCAACAAGTAAGGTCAAGGCCCAAGCTAAGCCAGCCGAGCAGGCCGAATTCAACGCAGATGAACGCAACGAAGAGACTTCTGGAAGTACCGAAGCTCAGGAGCAGCAGCCTCTGGAGCCACCAAAGTCATCATGGAGCCAGGTCGCGGCACGAGTGGCCTTCCAGCCCTTAACCTCAGCCGTTCCCACGGCAGAGCAAAAGAAGCTAGCTGTCGAGGCAGCAGAAGCCGCATTGAAATTGAAGCAGGCAGAGAAGGGGGAACCTGCGCCTATCCCAACCGAGGACGAACCCAAATCTTCCGCCGACGCAGAGCCGTCTAACGAGAAAGACGCCCCTAAGCCGTCTTACGCAGCTGCCCTGAAGCAGGCCGCTCCAGAGACCCCAGCCCAAGCCCCAGCCGCCCCAGCTCCGCCAGAGCGATCTCGGCAACCGCGGAAAGCCTCGCGAAAGCACCGGAGCCATGCTCCTCGGGCCAATGCCCGCCAACCCCCCACGCGCAAGCCCAAATCAGCCCGCGCCGGCCACGAAAACAAACCGGGAATCCCCGCCTCCCCCGGACGCAGAGCGCACATCGCAGAGCCGTGCCGGTACTTCCGGAACGGCACATGCCGGCGCGGAGCCGATTGCTGGTTCTCGCACGAGCTTGTCGACGCCGACGGCGCAGCAGCAGCAGCTACCGCTACCACTGCTCCCGCTCCAGCACAGAACCAGCACCAGCCAAGCAGCGCGCACAGCGCCATGCCAGATGCCCCCCCAGCACCAGCAGCAGCCAACGATTCCTCGCGCGCCGTTCCCGCACCCACGCCCACATCGACACCGAAGCCGAGCGGCGAAGAGGAGAAGGCCATCGCCGCACAGCCGGACGACGCGACGCGACGCGCAGACAACGGCGGCGGCAGCAGCTCGACAGCGAGCAAAGGCATGACGATCCGGGGCACGCAGACGGACGGCGGCGCCTTGGACCGCAACAAAAACAACAACAACAACGAGGAGGAGAAGAAGACGGACCGCCGCTGGGCCGATTACACCACTGACGATGATAGCGGGGATAAGTTCCTCGCTGCGGCCATCGCCACGCTCGGTGGTGCGACAGAGAAGCAGAGCGGATCTGGCACGGGACCCGGCGCTGAGGCCGGTGTTGTGGGAGACGAAGAAGCTGGTGGTGGTTCCGTCGGTGACGGTGCAGCGGGACCCTCGTCTGGTCCTGCGTCTTCGGCAGCGGCAGCGGCACCGACAGGGCAGAAGAAATCGCTATCGTGGGCCAAGGTTGTGGGCTGCGAGCACAAAGACCAGTAGACGGCGACGACTGGACCGCCCCGTTGATGATGCGAAATTCATCACAGGGGGTAGGGTGGTGGTGGTGGTGGTGGTGGTGGTGCCATAGTCAATGCTGTGGTTGGGAGAGGGAAGCAGTCTTGATATGGAGATTTGGGTGATGAATGGATGAGTTGGTGGGAGAGTCAGCTAAGGATAGCATACATCATGCTGGAGGGGAGGGGGAAGGAAGGTTTGGCTGAGAGTGGGCTAAATATAAAGCCATTCAACGGTGGTGGTGCCCATGGGTCTACTGGAAGATCCATATGATGGGACGACGATATTCGGAAGTTTTGGGGAGCTGGATCTGGAGGCCTATTTATAGGGGCCTTTGGAATACCCTCCCCCCCCTATTTCGGTTTTCTTCGACGACTATAGTCGAACATCGCATCAGTTAGTTGTCTAGCAACGACAACAATGGCCATGTTAGGTATGGAAGCATGCTGCCAACGCCCTGGTCACCTGGGTATACTGGACGAAAAACACACGACTTGCGAGTGGTGGTGAAACCGTGACAACGTCTACTATTTTCTCTATTTCCTTTTCCTTTTCTTTATTATCCCTTTACAACACGAACACACGACACGACATCTGAGGAAAGTTATCGCTTTCCTAACTTCATACTTGACTTACCTACCTCTTGATGATATTTCCGCCTTTGGCCACGAACGAAACGAACGAGTGAAAGAACAGCAAAACGGCCAACGAAAGACAACGATACTGGAGTGATGAAAAGTCGAGCAAGAAGAGAAAAGTCTCTACTTGCCTACATGGAAACGAGTTTGCTGTGGAATAGTTACGCATGTATCTATCTGTCCGCCTCTGCCTAACCTATGTTGGGACAGGTACCAACACACACAATCATACGGAAACAAACAGTCAACAAACTCATGAAGAAAGAGGAGGGAAAGAAGGAAGGGGATGTTTTCACTATTAGGGGCAAAAAGGCCACAATGGAAGGTGGAAAGGTGACGACGAAGTGGCTAGGTAGCTGGTCTCTGAGATACAGTGAATTAAAGAGGGAGGATTTTCTCATTCCTTCTTCTACAGTATCTCGAGAGACCTGGCATGGAAAGTTTTCTAGGACGCCTAATACTACAGGCGCAACTTGTTTCATTGATAATGAAGGAGCAGGAGGCGTTCGAGGCAATGTCGTCTATTCATCATAGATGGATGGACTGGCATTATTACGAGTGCTACGTTGCTTGCTCTCTGTTTATCTGTTTATTTGACCTTGCCGTCTACGTCGATTAGTTGGGTGGCTATTATGGAGGATACCATACCTACCCAGGTACTTAAGAGGTATTTGGTAGGTAGGTAAACACATGCCACCGCTGCTTAGCTCTATAACTACGGTGGAACGCGGCTAGATAGGTACCCAGTCAAAATGCATTGAATTGTTTTCTATATTCCCAGTGCTTATAAATCGTAGTGTGCTTAGTAAAGCACTACCTACCCAGACTGTCAGGAGGCGAATTCTAGAAGACGTAGAACAATATCGGTCTTACGCGGGAATCTCTGACATCTCCCCGGTGATTATGGAGATGGATATACACATATACCCTTCTCTGCCGTTGCTAGCCCACGGATAGACCCTTGACACTAGGTAGGTAGGTAACGACCGTGACGCTACTCTTATTGCCGCCACCACCCCCAAGTTTGACAAGCATTGATCATCGTAGAACATACTACAGTAAAGCCCATGACATCCCACTGACAATCCAAATACTATACCGACACAGTGGCACATACATGTCTAGCTAGTATTTAGGTTAGGCAGATAGGTGCTTTGATAGGTATGTACCTGAGCAATGAGGCAAACCCCACGACCTGACGCGTACTGTAGATAAATACCTAGATATTCCAAACCTCCACGACAACAAATCCCCCACAATGCCACCAACAACCCCCACGACGACACGATTTCACAAGGCGAATTCGCCAATCTGCCACTAGCAGTATGGGGAACCTGGATATGTATTGCAAACGGCATAGTTGTCCTTCTCACTGCCCTCCCTTGGCACTACCCACCACCGCCACACATATGCCTAGGTACCTACCTGTGTAGGTATCTACGAGGTTGCCTCCCTTCGTATCTACTGTACTCTCGTCCCCCATCTAGAGGCAAATAGTACACGTATAGGTAGGTGGATAAGTAGGTCGTACAGCAGCAGCAACAGCTCTGAATAGTGGCAGATTGTTCGTGGCACTCTATCGTGATGACACTTGTTCACATTCTCATCGTTGTCGTTGTCGTTGTTGCTGTGGCTATGGCTATCATCGGAAGGGGGGAGGTGGCTAACAGTAACAGCAACTATAGCAACATCATACATAGTATGTGGATAGATGATGCTCCGGAGTCCGGGGGATAGGTAGGTATTGTGGCGGCGAAATAAACGCGATCCAACCCATGCTACGTGCGCTACACCCACGTCTGAGACTTATTGGAGCGTATGTTTATACACACACTTGTGGATATTACTTACTCCCATACATATTACCTACCTAGTAGTGTATGTGATAGAGGTCGGTCGCGCACACGTTGTATATACTGAACTACACCACACCACACCACACCACACATCCATCCATCCATCCATTCACCTTCCACAAGCCTCCACCAACATCTAGCACCTTCGCTCGCTCGCTCGCTCGCGCCTCACCGAGCGAAGCCTTCAATCCTTCAATGCTTGCTTGCTATTCCATCGTAGAGTGGCAAAAAAAAAGGAAAAGAAAAAGACACACTTACATACGATGAGTACCAAAAAAAAAAAGAAATTGGCAAGGGGAGGGAGGACCACAAGGAGAACAAGGAGAAGAAGAAGAAATGAAGGAAAAGTTGCAAAGTGAAGTCGGAATTAAGACCCCAAATTTCAGCTAGTCCAGCCAATCAGAACTCGGTGTGCATCTAAACTAGTTAGCCACAGCGTGGCTGAGCTACTGCATATTAACTAGTACCAGGTGCACTACATATTACACTACGGGGGAGCGTTTATAGTGGCCACAGTGGATGCGAGAACAGTGGCGAAGGTTCCTGAAAAGCTTGGAAGGAAAAAAGAAACCTCCCCCCCTTTTAGTTGTAATAGTATTGTATTGTACACGGTTCTAGTTACCTAAGCTAGGTAATTACCTAAGGTTAGGCAGATTAAATTCCCCAACACCAATATCCATCATGGCAGCTAGCTAGATCATAGATGGCCCTCAAGGTATTTTTCCAAGGTTCCCGTTAACTAGTGTAGCGAGACCTACCTATCAATCAGCAATCAATCAATCAATCAATTGACGGATTTGAACGTCATAGTTCGCATCTTTTTTCTTTAGTGACACCATGCACATTGCACACCCTGTGTGATACCTAGAAAGTGCCCTACCTATCTAGGTAACTACCTACATAGATAATCCCAAACTTTTTTTTTTTGCATCCATTCGTTGTAGGTAGGTGATGTATTTGTATTTGTACCTAGCCTTAGCATGTAACCTCTAGGGCTTAGTAGTAGATCGCATTGTTGATCCGCCCAGTCGACTCGCCAGTCGTATACCTAGTGTGTAGATAGCTATTATACGAATAGGCATTAGACAATACCTAGGTAGGCAAGTATGTAGGTTAGTTAGGTACATATGTCGTCAAGCACAAGTGTGTCGTCCGCACCCGAAAAAAGCCAAGGCACGAAAAAGATGATATGCGAGATCCTCCACAGTCTAACACCTTTAGTTTTACCACCGGTCTTTTTTTTTCTTCTTTTCTTCTTCTTCTTCTTCTTCTACTCAAAAAAAAGAAAGAAAACCAACCGGCCCGTCATCCTTTGGAGATTAAGCGCTTCTTCTCCGAGTCCGAACAACAACAACAACTCTGGGCACAATTTCCAACTACACTAAAAACCCGCTAGCCGAGTCCACCGAAAAAAATGTGGACTTGGCTGCGTGGTGACGGGTCAGAATGACGGAACATTTTGGTTGATATATACCTAGGATAGGATAGCATGTTAGTACCCTACCCTGACATATCTAATCTAGGTATCTATCAAAAAAACCAATTGCTCCATACATGCATGGTGAAAGGGAAGGGGAAAAAAAAACTGCATTCAACGTCGGATTATAAACCATACGGATCTCGATTTGTATGTGAGCGGCTATGCGAAGATTGTCCACTGCCCACAAATTGCATACATCACATGTTCTGTTATAGAATTTGATACCAGGAATCCTTTGGCAATGAGCGAATGACGCGAGAGAAGAGAGAGAGAGAGATGGGGAGAGAGAGAAGATATTTTATCCCTTAGTCCTTAGGGGATAGATAGGCTACCCGGCAAGATATTTTGCGGTCCTATAATGAACACGTTCGCGACAATCTTTTTTTTTTTGTATTGCTCGTGTGGGTGAATCTCTTTGCTTGGCGTTTGCCGGTCACTTCCAGTACGCTTTTCGCTTTCTGATTTAGGTTACTCGTTAGGTTACTTGTTACTCCATGCCATCCGGTGGTCTGGATGCGCCGGACGAGAGACCTTAGTAAGCTTTGCCGTTGTATTCGGCTCCATGATCGGGCACGAAGAACGAATGTCATGTTTCAGGCCAAGTTGATGGGCAAAAAAATCATAATAGGAATATTCAGTTGTCGGTAATGAATATTACGCATAGTACATATGCATAGAAGAACCTAGCTTTGTCTGCATGTTTCTAACGCAGATCGTGGGGAGCTTGTGGGAACATCCCGAAGGAGGCGAAGGAACATAAATGCGAAGTGGGGGATTCGACGACCTTTTTCATCACCTTTTTACCAACTCGCCTTCTTTTCCTTCGTTATTTCCCACATCATGGCGCATCCAAGAGGTTACTATCTTCATTATCAGTAATGTGGCGGTACTCGTCCGCACCATAGGCAACATCCTATCAATACTCGCAATCAAATAGAATGAATGTCTCACTACATATACTATACCTAAACGTACCTAAGTACCTAACCACAGATCCGCACCCTCTCTGCTGGCCTGCTTCGCCTTGCATAGGTGCCTAGGTTGGCAGCTAAGTACCTTGGTATTGCACTCTCGGGGAGTTTGTGGCGCGCTAAAAGCCCCCCCCCCCCCCCCCCCCCCTCGACAAGCGACGAAATAAGGCTGGTGATGCTAAGCATTCCTACTGTTGATCATAGATATATTATTAGTGACAGTGGGCAACTAGTATCCAGGGTTTTGAGACTTCTTAAATTCGCCCCCCCCTTTCCGCCAGGTACCAAACCAGGTTATTTGGTATTAACAAAGCTAGCAAGGTAAAAGGTCGAAGCTCTTTCCCTCCCCTCGAGTTATTGTAAGTAGGAGCTCCCTCCGATTCAAAGTCGAGCATGCATATTGGACGATCGGTTGAATTGACCTAGCATCGACGGGAACCACTTGACTGCAGTCCAAGACCGAAAAATAAGAACTGTTCGTTGGGACCACTAACCCAGGTAAGCGCCGCGGGCCCGTATTAACCTATCATAAGCGTCAGGGAGCTTTTACTCCGGCTCACTACCAGAGCAGCAAGCTGTCCATGTCCCCATTTGGATGTCCTGCTGTAGTAACTAGACAGTACGGAAAAACAAGAGGTGAGGTAGGTAGGCAGTCATGTGCTGCTAGCTACCCAGTACCCAGTACCTAGTACCTAGTAGGGCAAACAGAAACAACAATTCCTCTTCATGTAACAATTCCTGGGGGGCTATACGTTACGTATTCTCATGCCCTGTAATTGCCACAGGGGGTTTCAACAATACCTAGCACATCAGCGGTCAAACGTGCTTTTTGGTTCGGTGGCGACTCGGGCAAGCTGTGCAACATTACTCTTCTGACGACGTTTGGGTCCTTATTTCATACGTGAAGCCACACCAACATTTAACCCAGCCACCTTTATACGATTGGTATGCCAAATCAACAGTTGTCGTCGAGACTTTTGTCCTTTCAGGGACCCTCCAGATTCCGGTGTTCTTGACATTTCAGAGCAAAGACCCAGCCTGTAACTTTAATGTGTATTGAGCACACCGCCGAGTGCCCAGTGTGCGGGAAGCAATATCTCATCTATGTCGAATTCTGCAAAGACTATCATCCTCCATTGCTACAGTGTCCTAGGGGAATAAGGGACGAAAACGAAGACATGATAGAAGGAAGATGTCCCAGTCCTGTTTGTCCTTACAGCCGCACCGGCGGGTGCTGTGTCAGTTGATTCAGGGGGAGAGAAGTTCTTCTTCAACGGATCGATTTTTACCGACCCGGAATGACTCTCCCCGGCCGGAATCAGCAGCAATCAGAGTTTCTCTCCCCCGACACCGATCTCGACGATTTGGTCAATTCCTTGGTACTCCGGAACTTCGAAATCATACTTCTTAGCAATGGCTGGAGATACAAAACTACCGGTATGTCAGCTTTCACGGCAACATTTCAGCTTGCACAACAAAACACCTACCGGCCCCCTATGAAATGACGACCGCGGAAGTACTTGACTAACGGCTTGGGAGCTGTCAGACTGATCAAGAAATCAGGGTTGAATTTGCTGCCTAAGCCGGACTCGGGCGGCCCACTCTCGATATTCCAAGAAGATGGAGCATCAACCGAGGTCACGGGAAGTTTAGTGTCTTCCAAAGCTCGGATCACGGCAGGGAAAGGTTCGCGAACCTCGCCTGAGAAACTAAAACCTTTATTATGGATGAGCCCGAAGCCTTCTAATGACAACGACAATACGTACCGAACACTGCATCTACGATGTGATCTGTTGATTTGATAGCCGCTGGAAAATCCTCTACGAACGGTACTTCAAGGTCTTCTAGCTGTTTAGCTAGTCGCTACGAAAGTAACGATTAGTTTCCCGAGGTTTGGACTAGATTGGATCATGGAAGATGATGCATTATACAAGGGCATTGTACTACTATACGCCTTGTAGGTAGGGGGATAGACACATGTTAAATTTCCAAGGAAGTAGGGTAAGGGGACAGGGGGGGTTAGGGCAACTAGCACCATTGACTAACGATCATTGTGTTGAGCCATATCCAACATCGATAGACTAAGGGGGTAAATGATGGGTAGTGTGTGAGGGCATAATTTCGAATCTGGATTTCATGTTATAGCAAGCGTACCTGGTAGAGCTCGTTCCTGCTCCTTTTTGGATAGTATATGGCTGGCCGATACCCATAATGACGAAGATGACGAGCTGCAACAAGGCCATCACCACCTTTTATGATTTATGAGTATAAGAACTTTGTATGACCATAGATAGACAAGCTGAGTGCTTACCGTTATTGCCAGGGCCGCAAGCTACGAGTACTCGGTTGCCCTGGGTTGGGGGATGGACACGGTAGACTATTCGGTAATAATGGTTAGATAAGCACTAACAAGTGATCAAGTAGTTGAAATCAAACACCAACCAACTTGAGAGACAGATAGGCCAGCTAGTTCCATGAGTTGGTCAATAGAGAAAGCACCAGTACTCATAAGCTCCGTGTCTAGAGCTGCAGCTGCCTTCGCTGACAAGGTCTATGATGGTGTAAGTCTATCTGATGTGATGAAACAAGTTGTGTACAACTGTGGGTAGATAATTACACTTACTCTGAGCGCCATGATTTAGGATGATCAAGTTACAAAAAGTTGGATAATAGAAGAGAGGTGATGAATACAAAATTCACAGCCGTAGATGTGGAAATAAAAGAAATAGAAATTGAGAATTTGGATTTGGGTTTTTGGTGGTTTGGTTGGTGGACTGACATCACCAGGGAAGCTTGTAACCGTACATGTATGTAATTGGTCTCGAAGAGCTCCATGGATCTTGATTGGTTCAAGGTTTGAGACAGCGCTATACCACTTCTTAACTAGACCAGTCTATGGTAGCCCAATAAGATATCTGTGCTAAAATCAAAAATTAAGATTAACTATTCCAAATTTAAAAATTAAAAACAATGCTACGAATACATAAAAAAAATAAATCGTACTTAAAAAAGTCTATAAATAAATAAATATCCTTATATACATATGTTACTTATATGAAAAGTATATAAATTATTATATTACTTTATATAATAAATTAAATATTAATTATATCCCTTTTTATTATATATTTAATAACTTATATATACGATACATTTATAATTTAAACGTGACTTTTATTTTTAATAAACGTAAAAAAACCTTAACCATATATCCCTTAATTATATTTACCATATTTTATATTAATTTAAAGTTTAATCTTTTATATTAAATAACTTTTTAAAATATATAATTATATATATATAATTAAAATTAATTAAAAATATATTTAATTATAAATTAATTAATATAAGTCTTAAATTAAAGTAATACGTAATTATAAAATTAATTAACTAAATAAATGGCAAGTTAAACGGCACGTGACCACCCTTAAAGCCATATTACATAAAAACCCTTAAAACCACGCTAAAAGCCCTTAAACTCTTAAAGCCGCCTAAAGGTTACATTAAAAAATATCACGTAATAACACATAATACATTTACTTAAATAACCTTTAAATTAAATATCACATTAATATATAACTTATATTATTTAATTCGTAATTAAATAAAATTTTAATTAATATTAATTATATATATATAATTAAATATTTTAAAAAGTTATTTAAATAAAATAAACATTAAATAAAGTTTAACTTTAAAAGCTTTAAAGGTTTTTAATACAACTTTAAAAGTTAATATAAAGTTTTACGCTAAAAAATGTCACATAATACCCCTTAAAACTATTAATATATATTATACGATATATTTAAATATTACACCATATTATAACCTATATTAATTAATTTAAAATTAAATACGCTTTCAAATAAACTAAATTATATAATTATAACTATATATTTTAAAAAATTATTTATATAAAATATTATAAAAGCTTATATAACTACGCCACATAATTATATCACGTAATTATATAAGTTTATATTATTAAGAAAATTTTATTTAATTATTTAATATAATTAGCTAAAGTACCGATATACATGCCTTTCTTTCTTAAAAAGTGGGACTGCATACTAAATTCAGACTAGCTTAATCATTATTTTCATTTTAGCACAGCTGTCTTATTAGGCCACCGTACCAGTCTTTAGGTTCCGTTTGTTAGCAGTCTACCTAGGTACCTAGTAGTAACCCTCCAGGGCTAGTATGTAATTGGCCCGAGCGGAGAAAACAGTTTCCATTCCATGTCCCGCCAAAATTATTGAGTTCAAGGTTGCGACTTTGAGCAATCGCGATTTTTGATAATTATTTCCACACGATACTTCCAACTCCCCAGGTGTCCACTTCCAGATACCAACACCAACTTCGGAGACACCATGGTAGTCAAAATTCGTCTGGCGCGTTTCGGGCGCAAAAACTTTCCCTTCTATAACGTTGTCGTCACCCAGGCGAGGTTGGTTTCACCTACTTCAAGAACTTCAATACCAAGCCGACAGACAGCCTACTAACCACCAATCCCCCCTCTTAGAACGGCGAGAAACAGTAGGCCTATCGAAGTTATTGGCACCTACGACCCCACACCGAAGCCAGATCCGTATGACGACTCGGGGAAGCTGCACAAGGATATCAAATTGGACATATTAAGAGCCAAGTACTGGATTGGTGTTGGTGCGCAACCAACAGATACCGTCTGGAGACTGTTATCCATGGTATGATATCATACCGGGGAGGGTTATTCGACGCTGAATCTCGCAATGCTGACGATATCTTTAGCTGGGCATCATGGAACCAAAATACCGAAACACCGAGGCGCGGACGCCACCTCCCATGCCAGCCGAAGTCAAAGATGAAATCCTGGGATACAAGCCGCAGGAGTCGACCTAGTTCGCCGCGGTATGATTTGCATATAAAAAATATAAAAGCATTTGAACGGCGCTTTTGGGATTTCTAACGCACGATTGTACCATAGAAGGAACATATGCGCAAACTCTGCGCTTTACGGGAACATGGCCCGAGAGGTTGCTGAGATCCCCTAACGGACGGCTCGATGAGAAGCAGCGTAGGTACGTTGGAAAGCGCCGACAAACCTACTTCGATTATATAATCGAAGATCATATAGCTACGAACTCGGATACTAAGTCCTCAAGGCAAACGAGTCATATGTACATGGTAAACTAATGAAATATGAAACAAACACATGATCGTATGTGTGCTACATGTTAAGTGTAGCGAAACCGGCCCATGCCAGAGATCAAAAAAGCCCCTTCGATATGCGCAGTTGAATCCTTTGGGTCATATTATCAATGCGGTACCATCTTCAACGCCGTACCCAGAAGTTACCTCATGCCTTAATTATGCGTATTAGCCTATTATATGCGGGGATTGCAGTCTCATTAAGCACGTCTTTCTTGTCGAATATTGTCAAATTCGGTCTCCATTAAGGATGCTTAATAAACCGTCAAATCTGCGTAAACACCTAGGTGTCCCACATGCGCCAGCACGGAGCAAATGGTGAGCTACCCCTGTAAACGGCCAACAAACTCATTATACGCCATTGACCGTCTCCGCCGCACCACCTGCAGGCACTAGGACCCAATCCTTAACACTACCCTTCCAATCGCTCGTCCGTATATCCTTAACATGCACCAGAATGACCCTAACCTCCTCGCCCGCAACAAAGCACTCGCGACCACCATCCTCCTGTCCACCGTTCGCGGCTTGCGTCTGACCCTGCCCGCCATTCCCAGCAAACGCGGCGTGGCCTCCTTCGGGGTCGAACGTGTTGTTCTCGAGATGCTGGCTCCGGTAGAACGTCTCCTCGTCGGACCCGCGCGCCACAAGCTCGGCCGTCCCGTTGATGGTCGCGCTGATGCTAGATATGGCGCTCGTGTTCAAGTTCAATAGTAGTGATGCCAGACTCGACCTATGTTCCGGGCCCGGCGAGCCGCCTGACATGCGCCGGCCTTGGGTCGGCGGTCTATGCGAAACCCCTGGGGTGTTTGGTTAGCGCCACTGGGTGGGTAGGTGGTTAGATGCTTATGAATGGCTGCTCTCACAGTCGTGAACCAATAACGAGACATTGGGATTAAGGACCAAGTTATTGGTCTTCTTCGACGAAGGGTTCGTGGTCATGACGATGACCGGGGCCGAGGAATACTGCGAGGAAGGGATATAGGTATAGTTCATTAACGAGACGTGCGGCTGGTTATCGATGCAGGTGGCGAGGTGAAGCTAATAGATGTATATTCCGACGTTTGGTCAGCGACTGATAAATTCATTGGCAAGATACACGATTGATATATCGCCTAGAGACATAGTAGACGGAATATAAAATTGGCACATGTTTATCGGTCGTGGGCTTACGAAGCGAGCATTCTCAAGGCATTGCACGACCTCCGGTGGCAGCGTCGAAACTATCTGTTTATGAGTATCGCCGGCTGAGGCCTCGTGATTGAGAGATATCTGATCCATTGCTGTAATTGAGCTTATCAAATGTCTTTGAGGATCTTCAAGATCTTTAGAATCGAGCGCGGAAATCCGTTTGGAGGTTTAACGGGTAGGGTGTGTAAAAGGTTTGGAGGGGTTCGTGAGACGATCATGGTACATGTAGTTATCCAATTGAACCAATTGATCTTGATCAAATGGTGACGTTAGTGGGATGAAGCGGGGCCAATGGACCCACCTAAGCATGTGAGGCTTGGAGCTGTCAGTCTGAGTGCTGAAGCTTAGGGCGTAAGGGGCTGAAAGATTAATTCCGCGGCTTTTCGCGGGGTGGAACCGCTTAGTTACGGCTTCCATCCGATTCAAACAACGTCTTGGGAATGAGCTCCCACCGCGTTTCCTTGTCAACTCCAATCCCAGACTCTAAAGTCATCCAATCCTCTCTTTCCTTTCATATTTCGTATATTTAGTATTTAATAAAATCAAATTCAGAACAAAATTCAAAACAAAAGTCATTCACTCAATCACTACTAGTCACTAACACCCAATATGCGTTCCATCAAGCCTAGACATCTTCGCCGACGGGCATTCCCACGTTATCTCTCAACTAGTACCTCATCCATTCAACCACATATTACGCCCATAACGTCCTTGTTAATTGCTAATCGCGGTGAAATTGCACTAAGAATAAACAAGACTGCTAAACGTCTGGGCATAAAAACCACTACCCTATATACTGAACCAGATGCCACCTCCCAGCATGCCTCCTGTTCGCCTCAATCCATCGGCCTTGGTGCAGCCAATGGGTACCTCGACGGTGAGAGAATAGTGAAATTGGCCAAACAACACGGCATCCAGGCACTTCATCCAGGCTATGGCTTCCTCTCAGAGAATTCGGCCTTCGCCAAAAGGTGCGAGCAGGAGGGTATCGTGTTCGTCGGGCCCCCAGCTCAGGCTATGGCTGATATGGGTGACAAGGCCCGGAGCAAAGAGATCATGACCAAAGCCGGGGTCCCATGTGTACCTGGATACCATGGAAGCGATCAAGGAGAGGCCGAGTTACTAAATCATGCCAAGGAGATCAAGTTCCCCGTGTTGCTTAAGAGTGTAAAGGGCGGTGGTGGTAAGGGTATGCGTATCGTAATGGAAGAAAGCGAGTTTCTCCAACAACTGAAAAGCGCACGGGCAGAGGCCAGGGCTTCTTTCGGGGCGGGTGGCGAGGTTATGCTAGTTGAGAAGTACATCATACGGCCTAGGCACGTAGAGGTACAGGTATTCGCAGACAAGCACGGTAACTGCGTCGCTTTAGGCGAGCGTGACTGTAGTGTACAGCGCCGACATCAGAAGATACTGGAGGAGTCGCCCGCGCCAGACTTGGACGACGTCACAAGACTAGATTTATGGGGAAAGGCTCGAACGGCAGCGTTGGCTGTTGGCTACGTTGGCGCAGGGACGGTGGAGTTTATCCTCGACAAGGATACCGGGGACTTCTACTTCATGGAGATGAACACTCGACTTCAGGTGGAGCATCCCGTCAGCGAGATGGTTACGGGGACAGATCTAGTTGAGTGGCAGTTTCGGGTCGCCGCGGGGGAAACATTGCCGTTGACTCAGAAAGAGATACTAGAAAGGATCCGCGAGAGAGGGGCAGCCATTGAAGCTAGAATATATGCCGAGAACCCCGAAAAGGGTTTCATACCAGACTCCGGAAAGCTCGTTCACCTAAAAACTCCCCAGACCAACGAAGACATCCGGATAGACGCCGGTTTTGTGCAAGGCGATACCGTTACCGAGGCGTATGATGGAATGATTGCGAAACTTATCGTCAGGGGCAAGGATCGTGAGACTGCTATTAGGAAGATGGAGCTTGCACTGCACAATTATGAAGTGGTGGGTTTAAGCACCAACATCGAATTCTTAAAACGCCTGTGTAGGTCCCCGGCGTTCATAGAAGGTGACGTTGAGACGGGTTTTATCGAAAAGTGGAAAGAGGAACTATTTGATCCAGTCATAATTCAACCCGAAGTATACGTGCAAGCGGCATTGGGTGTCTTCGCTTCTCAACCAACGAACTCCATTGAGCCCCACGGAGAAAGCCTTGGTTTCGGGTCAGGCGGTAGCGAACGCAAGTTCTCTTTCAAATCCCTGGATGTGAGAGATCCAAAGGAAGGGGAGACAGTGGAGGTCAGTATTTCCCAAAAGGGGAACAACCTATTTGATGCTCGCGTCATCCGGAAAGGCATCGATCCAGAGGTCTTTGAGAATCTCGTATCCTCACCCGTTGCAACTTCGGAGACCACTAGTCTAGTAACATTCTTCCCGCGTACGCGGGTTGAGACAACAGTAGTCCAAGATCCAAATAACGACAACAAAATCACCATATTCCAGCATGGAGCTAAAACAGAGTTATCGCTAGCCCCCCCGACGTGGTACGAGAAGGCCCTGGGTTTGAAAGAAGTAGCCGCATCGGTTGCTGCCCCGATGCCCTGCAAGATCCTCAAGAATGAAGTCAAGGAGGGTGACAGGGTTACCAAAGGGACTCCTCTCGTCGTGTGAGTATCCCTTTTCTTTATCATTGCCAATCCAGTACGGTGCTAACCTCGATTCTAGCATCGAATCTATGAAGATGGAGACAGTAATACGATCACCACAGGATGGTGTTATCAAGAGGTTGGCGCATAAGGAAGGGGTGAGTTCCTACCTTTCTATCATAATGCTGTATGGGTATATGCTAACGTGGATACAAGGACAAATGCAAAGCTGACACGGTATTGGTGGTTTTTGAAGAGGACGACGCTACGCAGTAGAGCCTCCCTACTAGAGGGTAGGAATTAAAGGGGTAGCCCAGGCTTTACTAGGCTCATCATGGTTCCATAGGAATTAGCAACACCAATCTCGCCAACAAGTGTGCCTAACCTTATTCTCCACAATTTGATAAGACTGCCGGATGTTTAACCCTTACAAGAATGGGATCATCTGAGCTCATATTCATCTTGCCCAGATGCTTACACCACGATCTCACACGTTACATGATGCCATTCCTAATAGTCTAGTATAGAACCATTGTTGACTTCGCCATCACGCCCTTCCCTCTCTTTTCCTCCAGTCCCAGTGTAGCAAGATCTTTTATCATAGCCGCGGCACCTACCATAGATTTAGTAAATCAACCTCAAACGTATAATAAGACACTATACGTGAAATGTCAACACTGTTGATATATGGTTACAGAACTAGAGGAGCCTGCCTATGTTCGGTGCTACACTAACCTTAGTTTAGAGATAACTTGGGCCATATACTGGGAACAGATCGCGAACGAGACTAACACCTAATATTCCCCTATCCATATTTACAATCTCCTCCCCCAAGGTACGGTAGCCTCCTGCGGGCCAAGTTCTTCTCCGACATAGTATATATCTAGGTAGGCACGCATACAGTACTCTAATATTAGATCCTAAACACGCCGGATGTTCGAGCTGTCGTGTTACTTGACTAGTATATGAGCATGCATGTCTAAGCTTAGGTACATATACAGCGTGTATAAAGCCCGCCCCCCCCTTCTTCCCAAAAGAACTATGTAGTGCCTAATCGACCACACGAAATCTACATCATCTAGTTAGGTTCTACATGGTCGAGAGAAAAGAAAACACCCGAAGGGCGTCGAAGTAGTTTGTTTGCTTCTTGCTAATTATGTATGTATGTGTACCTATGTATTGGTGCCGCAACAACCATCCATCAATACCCAAACCAAACCAAACTAAACATAAAAAGGAGAAGGGCGTCGCGTAAGAAAGAAAGAAAAAGGGTTTTGAGCAAATTAAAATTAAAGCAGCCCCCGTTTCCCCATCGTTCGAGCAGGTGACCTTCGAATGAGGCTTGGGTTGGTATATTACCTGCATTCGAATCACCGTCGCCCAAGGCCAATGGTTTGGGGCCTCCCCTACTCCACGCATACACTTGTATATTGCTGGATAGTGCCTGGCCTACTAGGTAGGTAGGTGTAGTTGAAGCAAGTAGATCCGAGATATTATCAGTCTGCCTATCTACCGATTTACCTACACATCATACCCCCATCGAACCCGGGTTCAGCCGAACTGTGGGTTTGCGATTTACGATTTGCGTAGTCGTTGCGCCTAGCTACCTACATATCTACCTACTAGTTAGGTAGGTATGTATGTACATATATATGTATTCTCTGTACCTTCTTTTCCTTCTTTCTTTCAATGTTGTTTCCGCCCGTCAAGTTTCTATTCATCAAAGCTTATATATATATACTATATATACATACCGGCCTAACCTACCGACGTACATAGAGAATAATATATTAGTACCTAGATACCTAACACACTTAACACCTACATACATACACACATACATACCTACAGCACCCGCACCACCACCAACGAGAATTTCCCGCTTCCCCGGTTCTCGGAACACCAATATAGATGTACGTAGATCCATCAATATATAATAAAAGGGGGGGAGGGGAGGGGAGGCGCAAAACAAGACGAAAGTAAAGTAAGGAAAATGAGTAGGTAGGTAGGCATCGAGAAGGAATCCCGTTATTTGTCTACAGCACGCACACACAGACAGACACACACACACGCAATGCACGCGTCCAAGCCATGGCTAACAGCCACCGGCAGTCCACTCGCCGCCGGTGTTCCGAGACGCCCGTTTTCTTTTCTTTCTTTTCTTTCTTTCTTTCTCCTCCCCTTTCTGCTTTACTTTGATTTGCTTTTTCTCTGGGGGTTTTTTTTTCTTTTATTTTTTTTCTGATTAGCTAAGTAACTACCTCCTTATGAGAATTCGTCTGTTTCGAGTTAGGGGAAGCGAAGCCGGGTCGCGTGAAGAATGTCTCAGCCAGCCCAGCCCAGCCATTGTCAGTCCACCAGTATTTCGATCAGTTTTATCAGTCAGTCAGTCAGTCAGTCAGTCAGATTTGCTTGCTGGTCATGCACGCAAACGGCGCGGGTAGCTCGTCCTAATTAACAATATGTCCAGGTTTTTTACGCATAAATCTCATACATATTAAGGTTAGGTAGGCAGGTAGGTAGACCGACCGCATCGATCGATCCACACCCGTCTCCTCGTTCCCTCATCTACATGTGTAGGTCCCTAACCTAGGCCGTCTATGTAACTTCCTCGCTCTAGACACATCCATCTACACCCAAGGGGGGGGGGGGGGGAAGACTCCTACTACTGACGTACATACATACACGCTACCTGCCTACCTACTAGGTAGGCAGGATTCCTCAAGATATATCTGCATAGGTATATTCAGCCCAGCGATGAAACATCAAGCTCTGTCTGCATACTTGCTTGGTAGGTAGGTAATAGGTATCATGAACGGGGGATCGGCTCAGTTCTAGGCCGGCGCAAGAAGGCATCTTGGATCGTCACATACATACATGTCTACATGCCTCCATACATGATACACGTAGGTGGTCCGCGGCTGCGGTTGACAGCATATCTGTATGTATGTATGTATGCCATACCCATGCCATGCTGCGCTAGCCAGCGATCCTCATGTACCTACCTACCTGCCTGCCTGTCTGCCTAAGTACATACGTACGTAGGTAGACTACCTATGTAAGGGGCATAATTATCTAACCTACCTATGCGAATACCTACTATCAAGGCACATGCATACCTACATAGCCAAGTAACATAGACCAATGTAAGAATACCTAACTTAGCTTACCCATCCGCTCGCTATGTATGTGTGCCTGCCTATACACTTACTACGAGTATCAATGCCAACTACCTCTCCATCTACCTACTTTCAACTACCTAGCAGCAGTACCCAATCCTAACCTAGGCCGTGTAACGGCCATTGTAAAGGAGTAGCCCGCAAATAGGAAATAGCGCCGGGCTCTAGCAGCACTTGTATGTAGGAAACCTCCCTCCCTTCCTTCCTTCCTCCCGCGCACGCCTACCTATGTACGCACACATACACCTGTCCATATATGATGTACTGCCTAACCTCAGGTACCTTATAAAGTATATAGAACTGTGTAGATTTATATAGGCGAATTGGTATACATGTATATCTATATATACTTCTTAAGTGCATATATGTAAAAGGGGCAGTACATAGTAGCATGCATACGCGATACATGTATACCCACATACCTACCTACTTACCTAGTACCTATATATCTATACATATAAATAGCAAGAGAAGAAAGCCATCGCGATCTAGATGTACGTCCACATAGCTATAGTATACTATACTATGCCGCATGTATGCATGCCCAGCACCCCGTACCTATGTATGTATGCCAAGCGCATACAAATCGCGACGGGAAGCACCCAGGTCACATCCCTAGACGTAACGCCCCCGCGAGCGGGATCGGGCCGCCAGGCAACTAGCTGCCTACCTGCCTACGTCTGCATGTCTAGCTACCATATGTACGTAGCTAACTTCCAAGATCTATAGTTTGTTAGGTATGTAGGTATTGGAAACGACATCAACCCAAAGCCTACCTACATACGTACAAGCAAAACAAGCAAACCTACATAACCTGCAAGCACGTAACAGCCTAGCCAATCCAGCAGGTAACACCCGCGGCAAGGGCAATATGCCTAGGTTATATGTATGTAGGATATGTAGGGAAATGCACCTCGACCTTCAACTTACCCGCCTCGCTCTGGTTGGGCGAGAGGGGAAAGAACCTTGAAGGGTTGGGAAGGGGATGAGGAGTGAATCGAAAGGAATAAAAAATACATAGTAAAATGTATAAAAATAAAGAAATTAAAGTAAAATAAGAATAGTATGTAACCTAGGATCTAATCCAAATGTTAATTGCCTACCTACAGAGGTAACTAGGCAGGTAGGTATGTAGGTATGGTGAAGTCTTGATTGTATTCCCAGCTGTGACCGTGACTGGATGAATGTGTCATGGCTAATTGGTTGGTCGGCCGGATGGTTGGATGGGACGGGGTTGGATTGGTGGTGTGGGCAGTGGCTAACCTAGATGCTGCAGCGCACCTTTGATGCTTCAATGTTGCATGCACATGTGTATCTGTCTGGGGACAATGGGCTCATAAGTAACCTACCTACCTTACCTTTTACCTATTTACCTACTTACCATCTACCTACCTACCCCCTTCCCCCCTTAATTGGTGATCCTTCCCGATCGGCGGTCGGCCCCGAAATGCGATTGGTCCTTTGTTAAGCTTCGCTGCATGCTTTATATACTATATTTTCGATTGGTAAAGGTGGAGGGACCCCATGCAAATACGTATGCATTCATGTATGGAAGCCGTAAAGAAAGGGGGGGATGGGGGATAGGAGGGGAGGGGCGACATCAAGTCTGGTCTCTTTTCCTTTCGGGGTTTCGTCTGGAACCGTGATCCCCCATCCCCGGTCGGCGACCCAGACGATCAGCGAGCGCGGCTGTTGCAACGGCTGCGGTGGGTAAAACCGGCGTGCAACGTCCCTCGCTCCAATGGCCTGAAGGGTAATTGCCTTTCGCAGCTCTCTCTGAACGAATCGCAAGCGAATAAACAGTCGTCATGCTAGGCCATCGCCGCGACAGGTTGCAAATGGTAGACAAATTGGATTTTCCCCTGGTTGTGTGCAGCAATGGCGAAACGGAGTTGTGTGTGTGTATACCCAGGTAGGTAGTATATGTGTACATGTGTGCGTATGTGTGCGTATGAGGTGTGTGTGTGCTGGGGGACAACCATATCTTGGAGTGAAAAGGCTGGAAAGGAAGATTGGCTCGGCATTGTGATATGGAAAGCTTCCAGGCGTTGTCTCTTGCTGCAGGATGGGCTGCAAGTCCAATCCAGCCCGACGAATGAGGCATGCCGAATGGGAACCGGCATAATGTGAATTATAGATGGGGGAGCTATCGGGAGATCCATCTCCTCGCCCATCTTGACCTACGTGACAGGTCGTAACGGGCGTTGTCGTGTCCCTGGTCGCGACGCTGTGATACCAGAGTGAAAATGGATGCCTTTAGAATACTAGGTACCGTGGATTACAGTCTATGTACCTATTCAATGCTCTCTTCCTTGATATTCGTGTTCGTTTATGGGAGGTATGGCAGGCAAATGAGATGCGCTTCATTTCTTGTGCCTACCTACATGCCTACCTACAGCATTCAGCAACCGTCGGTTTGTATCGTGGGCGCCTGCGCAATTTCACCGGCTTGGCGTGACACATATCGC